GATAGCTGCTCATTCAGACCACCACCTCCAGGGCTGTTTGTTAAATACAATCAGCCTTTTCTGAGGCTTCTAGTCCCTGTTGATAGGATCACCCACCTAACAGTAGAGCCCAGAGTAATTTATATAACTCTATAGCTTACTGAGTGAAAGTGGAAAGATTTACAGAAACTTCCAATCTAGAACACTATTGTCGTTTTCCTCATTTACCTATTTGTCCGAAAAACCTCTTTAATAATCCCCTAGCACTAACCCAACAGGTATTGAAGGAAGAGTAAAAATGGGGAGGGGAAAGGCAGGGAGGTAGTTAATTCATTTCTGGAAGTTACAGATGAAACCACAGAACCTGGTCTTCCAAGGCTGGTTGCTCCAGGATGAGACCAGTGACATTTATGCCCTTACTACGTAGGTAACCGGGGGCGGCTTTGCTTTGGGGAGGGGAAGTCCCAAGTTCGGTGGAAGGACAGCCAGAGTCAGGGCTGTGTGGAGATTCTTTTGATCTGATCTCTCCTCTCCTTTGTCAGATGTTCTTGTATTTGAAGACATCTGGAGATATTTTTCCTTTGAGGATGTTTGAATCTTTCGAAGCCGGTTCAGCAGAGTTCCAAGGAGGGCAGGCAGTGTAGAAAGAAATCCAATTCACAGTGCCAGAATAGGGTGTGGCCTGCTGGAAGGCAGGTGACTCAGGTACACATTGATACATGTTTCCGATTTACATTCGTTGGAGATGTTACGACTGTTCCAACCTCTGTAGGTTGATTTCCTACGTGTGCTCTGAATCACAGGCTTCTAATGGTTAAGTGCAGTGTCATGTCGTTAGTGTGCCTAGCACAGTGAGATGCGTGCGGTGCCCGTGGGCATGTCTTTGTATTGTGTCGATGTTCTGGAATTCCAGCCCTAGAGAAGATGCCCATGAATAGAAATCACCACTTAGTAAGACGTACACAGGATGGATAATTATATGGAAGCATGATTCAGGAAAGTAGATGATTTATTCCTAAGTATGTATTAAGTACTGTTCCGTGTAAGGCCGTGCTCCAGGCACTGAGGGCGGGCGAACACAGAGAGACGCGGTGGCCTGGCTCGGGGAGCTGGCAGCGAGACAGAGGAGGTACTGCAGCAAAGGTAATTAATGCCCATTCCCTTTGCGTCACTTGCAAAAGGTCAGTGACTCCACCGTGAGAAAATCACGTTCTTCTGAATTGCCTCAAACTGTGTACCTCTGCCTCTCCCGACGTCCCCAATGGCAGGAAAGGTGCAGGACCCATTCCATCTCGGGTGGAACAGACCGAGTCTGTGTGAGTTTCATTCCTCTGGGGCCGCACAAAGGTGGAGCCCGGGTTCCCCTGCCTGCGTTCCTAGTGGTAAACGGGCTGTCTGGATGTGGGCTAAGTTGCCTTCACGAACTCTGTCTCTGTGCTGAAGAAATAGAAGGTCCTGCCCACCATCTTAGACCAAGACAACTTGCATCTTGTCTTTTCTCAACTGGAGCATGAAAGTCAGAATGAATAATGTGTCTTTTATATCACATAGCATTGCCTTTATGAAGATCCATAGGAAAAGGTTTTTCTCTGGGTCTCGGTACCAGGGAAAGCTCTGATCCTAAACAGGAAAAAAAAAAAAAGGATTACAAACACTGTGATTTTTATAACTTACTGCTTTTCTGTCTTTGTTCTGGCTGCTGGAAAGCTCAACAAAACATACCAGGCCACCTCAACCAACTACCTAAAACCTCTATTTGTTTAATCCTATCTGATTTCTTTGAAATTTACCCCAAATCCTATTTTTTAAAAGCAGTATGAACAACTGGACATTTTATTCTCTGACATCTTACCCAGGGCACTTTGGAAACTGGCTTGTATTCCCTGCCTACACTTGCTTTGTTACCCCCACAAATACCTCCAGTTCGTACCAGTGATTTTATTACACATACAACCTGATGTGTTCATAAATCGTCTTTAAAGAAGGAAACTTCACACATTCGCTTAAACCGCTCAGGGCGGCCTGCCCTGGGGGCGCGAGCATTAGACCAGAAGCCAAAAGGAACACATTTCAATCTTGCCGCCATCACTGAGCGTTGTTTGACAAACCTCAGCCTCTCTGGGCTGGTGTTCCTTATCGGGAGAGACGTTGAACTTGATTGCCAAGAACGCTCTGGCTCTAATGTTTAGTGAGACTGCAGGGCGCGGAGTAGATGAGGAAGAGGATGCATGTATATGCATCTATAATGCATATAAGACCAGGTAGCTAGCCTGGCCTGCCCCGGCAGGTGGCGTCCAGGCCACACTGAACCCACTTCACACTTTAGGAAGAGGGAGGCCGTGAGCAGCCCGGGAGCTCACGCAGTGATGAGAAAAGACACGTGTTCACCAGCAGGCAGCCCCTGGGGCTCCTTGGTAGCCGACAGCAGGTAGCTGCAGTGAAGAAAGCCCTGATGTGAGGTCTGGTGCCCAGTGATGAACGGGACTCTGCTAGGAAGGAGCCGGGGAAGCCCCAGACGCAAGGCATGTGTGAGCAGCTTATGTGGCCCTTAGGTTTGGCCTCTGAGTGCATTCCAGGTATAAATGTATGTCTGTTCATTGTTTTGTACTCACGTTCACTTAGATGTCTTCTTGAAAACTTGTCTGTGAAATAAATGTCGAAAATAAATGACTCCTGTGGTTTTTGCCATAATTTGAAGGAGGTGTTCCATTAAAGGAAAAGAGAACTTATCCAAGAGGTCATAAAAGCAGATCCCAGTGGCTCTGTAAAGAGAGTCTCAGTATGATCCCAGCTCCCTGCTCTCCCCACACCTCCCAGGACCCTTCATGCGTCCCCAGCTGCCTGCCTGTAGCCTTGGAGAGCTGTCTCTGCCACCGTGCCCAGCAACGGCTCTGACTCTAGGGTGGAGTTCACCCTGGATGCACGGAGCTTGTGTGTTCTGGGTGAGGCCCCTACCCATAGCCTTTCCTGGTGGTTTGAACCAGTCTCGACAATGTCCCCAAAGAGACAGTGTGGCTTTGGATTTACTGTTTCAGTTCAGAGTCCCAGTGGCTTCCATTTCGCCCTTGTTCCCCTAACAGTGTCAACTCCACGGGTCAGAGAGTCAAGTGGAGGCTTGGCCACTCGGCAAGGATGTATTTCCAGCTAAACTGGCAGGTGCCGTAGGAAGACCCAGCGGATGGGTTCAGAGAGCCGTTCACCTGAAGGTGGGGGAGACTGCGCGTCCCTCACCTGGGCTTTACAGGCCTCCGCTCTGCACAGCTGGCCACAGCGGTACCCAGCATCCTCAAAAATTACAACTGCCCAGGGTCCATGTCGAAGAGGGGCCGGAAACGTTCCAGGTTTTCTGTGAGTTTTAAATGGTCACAGCCTTGGGGGAAGAAGTGCGGCATTCTCTCAGCATTGTCCCAGGTTACCTGGCCTCCATTCCCTCACCGACATTTCGGTCTGTGAACTGACTCACATCTGGGAATTGGATGAGAGACTTTAAACCTCTAAGGGAAAAACAAGTGTTTAAGGGCTACAAATTTTCAATTCCTATAAGCCAGTTGCATCAATTAGACTTTAAGGGAGGAGTAAGAATGTTTTCGTGTTTAAGAACTAAAAGGAATGCAGCTGGGGGACGAGAAACATCATTTCTTGGATCCTCCATCTGTCCTCTGAAAGAAGAGTCAAAGTGCCTGTCTGTATTACTTTCCTGGGGCTGCTGTACAAATTACCCCAAACTGGGTGACTTAACAGAAATTTATTCCCCCCCAGTTCTGAAATCAGGGCGTCAGCAAGACCATGCTCCCTCCAAGGCTGTAGGGGAAAACCTTCCTAGCTCCTAGCTCTTGGGGACTCCTGGTCCTGGCAGGTGGCTCCGTGACTCCAGTCCGCCCCATCCTTCTCCGCAGGCCTTCTTTTCTGCGTCTCTTTGTCCTTCTCTGTTCCTTCTAAGGACTCCCATTGGATTTCGGGCCTGCCCTAACCCAGCGTGATCTCACCTTGATTGCTCCTTACCTTAATTACATTGCCAAGACCTTATTTCCACATACAGTCACATTCTGAGGTTCCGGGTGGACATGGATGTGGGAGGACACTATTCAACCCCCTGTGCTGCTTTAGAGGGTCGTTGTGGGGAATCAACAAGATAATGCATATAAAGCAGTCTGCATAGTGCCAAGCACATAACAAATAATCCGCGTTAGCTGTACACGTGTGTGTGGGTGCACGCATGTATATGTATGTGTGTATACACGTGCATATGAGTGCATACATGCGTGTATATGTGTGTGCATGCATGTATGTATATATAACTATTTTGTTATTTACTAGATTTACCAAAACCTTATTTCATTACTTACTTAGCCAAATGAAACAGTAACCTTTAACACTTTCCACTCTTTGTAAATGTTCTAATTTGCTGCTTTCTGGTTTTTTGTTTTTTTTTCATATTTCCTCCCTTTGTATTTTTCTTCTTTTTTTTTTTTAGGTTTATTATGGTTATTATTATTTATTTCCTTTCCTCCAAAAGTTGCTCCGACTGTTTGGGCATGTAGCATGTAGCATGTCTGCTTTCTCACCAGGCAGCCTTGAAACATACTGGTGATTTTCTCTAGTGAGCATTTTCCTCTTTAAGCAAGGATTGAAAAATCCTTCCCTATTTGTGATATTTGTATCTTGCATCCAAAGACCACTGTCTCTCCAGACCCATGTTATGCCACATTATCAATTTCCTCGGGAGATCCTTGCCCCTCTGGCCTGCCCCCATCTCCACCCTCACCCCAGCGGAGTGCCCTGAGTGGGCTGGCCCATATCCTAGGTAGTGCTGGGCACTACCTCAGACCCTGGACTCTGTGTTGGGCTTTTCAGCAGGACCCTGCAGACTGTGATCAGAGATGGACTCTGAGCTCCTGGCAGAGGTCCAAGATGGGTCTGGCTGAGTGGGAGATGGGCTCTGGGGTGGCCTGCATCCGAAGTACCTACCTTGGCACTGGACTCTAAGCCAGGGCCCAGCTAACTAGACTCTAGGCCGTTAAGGCCCAACCTGGACTTTTGCTTCCTCCCCCGCAGTGCTCATTTCTGAAGCAAAAAGCAAGTCCACGCCAAAGGAAATGCTGGACTATTTATTGCAAAGCTAGATTGGCAGCTCAGGAAGCAAAGAAACAGAGCCCGGCAGGCCCTTCTGTAACAGAGGAGTCTGGGGCCAGAAGAAGGAGAAAGAAAGTGGGTGGGGGAAATGAATTCATATGTAAACAGCCACCTCTTCCAACTGCTCTTCTGCCCTGGGAGCTTCCCGGTCAAGAAAAACCCCTCTGTTGTGTGGTGCCGGGCCAGGCAGGGCTGGCAATGCGCTCCCCAGGCTGAGGTCTCTGATGAGCACGAAGAAATCTGGAGAACCTAGAGCATCCTCAGAACTTGGCAGCGGTGTGTCATCTGGGAGGCCAGGCGCCCGTGCGGGGGAAGCGGGTGGGCGGCTGCTCTGGGCCTCTGCCCCAGCAGGAAATGCAGGAGGTGGCCTGTCTGTAACCCGGGTGGGTCCTCAGAAGCCACCTGGGCCGCAGGAAAGCCTCCAGCTCAGTGTCACCGTCCCTTCAGTATTAGGCGGGTTTTCCCATCTCCAATGAAGAGCCTACAGAAAAGATGGCCCCATGAGGTCTCCGAGCCTCCAAGGGGAGAGACCCAGCCCTTCACCGAAGGTCTCCAGGCCCAGAATTCTCCAGAGAGATGCTTTCCTGAGCCTTTCCAGCCTCAATAGTCAAATCCCCTTGGGGAAAGGGAGAAACTCCTTCCTGTTTGTGTTCCAACTCTTTCCCTAAAGATGCTCATCTCTGCCATTCCCAAAGCAACAGACAGAGAATTATCAGGCTAAGCCAGGACTGTGGATGAGCAATGATGGCAGACACTTCACACCAGGCCAGCCCAGCGACAGTGCTCTCCCAGACTGTGGGAGGAAGGTCCAACTGGTACCAGATCCAGACCCTAATCCCCATATGACCAGAAGCAGAAAAGAAAGGACGCTACAGACCTTGGAGGCTCAGAAGACAAGAGTTCAGGAAGAAGGAGTCACGTAGATATGATCCTTCTGCTAATACCGCACGATGCCAGGGAGCACTGGTTACACTGTCGTTCATGTGAATGGCACGTGCTAGCAGGCATACTCTCGGGGGCACCATGTACACGGTTTTCTGTGTGGATGGGGCCCCCTGGAGTTGTACGACACCCTGTGAGGAACCACTCCTCCCCCACCCTTGGTACACATGGTTGTGCAGGGAAGGCTGACCTTGCCCCGACCCCAGACACAGCCAATAAGCATGTCTGACCCCCACGGCTCCAGTGATGGATTCAGAGGTGGACATGACCCAAGCTGGGCCAATGCAAACCAGTGAACATCAGACCCCGGACTTTTGCTAGAGCCCTTGCTCTAGTTCCTCTGGAGCTTTTAAGCTGCTGGGATATAAGCCTAGAGTTCCTGGTGAGCATCTCGGCCTCTCCTGGAGAGCCTCTCAGAACATGAGGCCTGCTCAGAGGAGAGCAGAACCCATGGGAAACACCAAGGCCTAAAGACATTGCTTGAGCACCCACCTAAAGCCAGTGCTACCCGTGAACTTTTCACTTAATGTGAGCCAGTAAATTCCCCCTTGTGACATAAAGTGTGTTGAGATGGATTTCTGTCCCTTACAACCAAAGGTCCCAGAGCCATAATCTTTGCCTCTGAAGAAGCCTCCCTTTTCCCTTCTTCAACCCCAAGTGAGATGTTAGCCTTGGGCACTCTGGGAACCATCACCAGGGGCCGATCAGCGGGGCCAGTGACCCGGGGTCACACTCCTACCTGATGAGCACTCCCACAAGCAGGCTGGCCAGGAGCGGGCCCAGCCAGTAGATCCAGTGGAAGTCCCAGTGATTGGCCACCACGGCAGGTCCAAACGCCCGGGCGGGATTCATGCAGGCTCCAGACACGGCACCCCTGCAAACACCCAGCCACATGGTCACCAGGATCCCAGCCAGACCCCCATTCACGTCAAGTTCATTTCCCCAGCTAGGCCACCACCCAGAAGCCCTCTTGAAGTCCGCATATCGTGGGGCTCTAGGGGGATCCCAAAGAAGACACAGGGGAAGAGGCTTATTAGCACCAGGAAGTGAAAGCTTGTCTGTCATCCCCTCCACACCCTTCTAGAAGAATGGCCAGCAGAGAGTGTTCAGTGATCACAGGCAGAGAAGGTGGATCTAGGTTCTTGCAACGTTGAAAAAGCAGTCATCAGCTACGTGAATTTTGGAGTCAAGCTGACCTGGATTCAAAACCCAGCCTGGCTATTTCTAAATGTGTGGCCTTTATTGAACCCCTCCGTGTTTCAGTTGAGGTCAAGGACCCACCTCATAGGCTGTCATCAGGAGTGAATGAGATCATGCAGTTAGGACCCGTGACTCACGTGTAATTCATGACAAGTGTCTCATCTAGCTAACCCAGTTGAGGCCGTTGTTGTGCCACAAGCTTGGGGTCCAGAGTATCCTACGGGGGGGAGGGGGAGGCTGTTCTCCAGGAGCACCTCTCTACTTCTGGTGTCTGTATCCTTGCCCCATTCCTGCAAGCTGGGGTCCTGCAGGTCTCACCAGATCCCACGCCCAGCAGCCACAGTCGAAAGGGCGGGTCGATTGGCTTGCAAATGAACCAATAGCCGCTAAGGGGCAGCAAAGCACCGCTGCAGCTTTACACACATCGCCCCCTGCTCCCCAGACTCCGCCTCCCAACCGAAGGATGCCGGAGGGGTGCGTGGCCGAGCCAGGAAAGGCTAGACTCTGTTCCGTGTCCAGGAGGAAGGAAGGAGGTGGACATTAGGAAGCGGCTCCCTTGTCCCCTTTACCGGGAGATTTGAGCTCTTGTCCCACGTCTGTCCCTTAATTTGCCACTGTCCACTGTGTCCTCTCTGAGCTCAGTTTCCTCATATACAGAATGGGAGAAATAATCCCTGACCCAACCTTGTCTCCTTAACCCCTTCCCGAGCCCCCTGAGGGGCTCCGCCTCGATGAGTCGGTGGGTGTGGAAGCTCCGTGTGAGTCTGAGGCGAAAGCCTGGCTGCCCACTGGCTGACCAAACAAGCCGACAGAAATGTCTTATTGACGCTACAGAAAATGGAAAACCTCGCATGAGAAGGCAGGTTTCCGGCTTCCCTGGAGTGACGTTGGGAGGGTCACCAGAGGCCCACATTCCGTCCCAGCAACAGCTTACTGGATGGAGGTGCCCAGTGGAGCCTCCTCAGACACCCCAGCCCCCACCGCTCCCCGTTGTCCGCGGATGTCCGCCCGCTTCCTCTGTCTGCATCACCTCCGTGGCCCCTGTTAGCGACCAAGTCTGTGACCCTCAGGTAAGCTCTGCAGACCTGACCTCCTCCAGGGCCAAAGCTTGGCCCACGACTCACCCCGCCAGGATGTCCACGGTGACGGCAAAGCCGATGGAGAACGGAGCCAGAGGGCCCTGCGTCCTCTCGTCGATGGCGCCCATGCATACGGCCAGCGCCAACAGTGCCGTCAGGATGAGCTCCGCCACCACCGCCCCCGCCACCTGCCCCGGCTCCTGGACTGTCACAAAGGCCGCCCCGGACGCGTTCCAGAACTTCTCTTCAGGACTCACTGCCTGTGGAGAGAAGCGGCTCAGCCTCCCCGTGGGGGCAGGAGCCGAGGGGAGGGGCCTCGAAGCGCAAGCCCCCAGCCGTTAGAGCAGCACGGTCTGTCCAGTCCGCTCCAGTTTCTGCTGGGTGGCGCAGTGAGGGCCCCTGGGCTTCTCTGAGCCTCCTTTTGCTCATCCGTAAAATGGGATCAGTGGCTGCAGGTGTTGTGGGCCCGAAGCTTATGTAACTAGATGACCCTCTTTGAGAAAAGGAATACAAAAATACCTTACTCAACAAACTCTGCAAACACCTATGGCCAGATGAACCCACTGCCAGGCCCCCGTCAGGCCCCTTGGAAGGGGTGAGGGAGCCCTGATGCTGAAGCGCCATTAGCTTCCCAGGTAACGAGCCTCAGGGGTCATCCCAGCACCTGGAGGGGGAAGGCGGCAGAGCAAGCTTCTGGACCCCGGACCTAAATCTGGACTCCACTGCTCACCAGCGCTGCTGAACTCAGGTCAAGGACACACTTCGCGGTGCCTGTGTTTCCTCCTCCATAAAGTGGGGGCGCTGATAATCAGAGCTCCCAGCTCGGGCGCTGAGAACTGACTGCGGCTTCTTGGGACATCACGGCGAGATTTAAGGAATCAAGATGTGCAAACTGCTTCGCAGGAAGGGTGTGCTCCGTGACCAGAGCTTCTGCCCTGCACTGCTCGCCACCGTGTGGGCCAGGTGTGCAAGAGGCCTGGCCTGCGGGGGGCCTGGGAGCTGCTCTCCGCGGAGGATCAGAGCGGGAAAGTCCAGCCCCCACTCTGCACATGGGGGAGCGGGGGTCTCAGAGGCAGACACGGGGAGACCAGGGCAGGGGGGACAGCAAACAGGGACTCAAGACCAAATCTGCAATGGGCCAGTGCTTGGAGCTACAGACCAAAGCCCAGCCAGGCTGACAGGCACCCCCTCACCCCCCACCCCCCACCCTATGCCCCCTAACACATGTGCCCACAAGGCCTACATCTTAAAGGGCCCTTGGTTGGATTGAGACTTAGCAGCAACAGGGAAGAAAGAAAAAGAAGGGAAGGAGGGAGGAAGGAAGTGAAGGACGGAGGAAAGGGGTCCATCCGTGCAGTCACATGTGGAAGTATTAAACTGTGGCGGGGAGGAGGAGCTAGCCGTCCTGGTGGGAGGGAAGGTTCCAGACATAAACTGAATATTATCTCCCGTCACAGGTAGAGGGACTCTGTTTAAAAGCAGGCAACCTGGAGAACACTTGGAAAAGTTAGTCCGGGAGTTTCTCAAGGAGAGTAACTCTCAGTTTGTAGGTAGGTAGGTAGGTAGGTAGGAAGGGAGGGAGGAAGGAACAAGTAAATGAACTTGTAAATGAATGAATGAATGAGTGAATGAATGAATGAAAACACACTAGAAACATTATCCAAAGCCATTCTAAAGCCAGAAATGGTCTCAGGAAGAGAAACTTCAAGCCCCAAATTCTGCTTCCTGGTCTGTCCAGGGAAGGGCTGTGTCCAGATATGGACAGAACAGGGTATGTTTAGAGAAAACCAAAGGCCCCCTTCTCGGGAGAAAAGGATGCACCCAATCCCGCTGGAGGAAAATCCCACGGGAAAAGAGCTGGGCACCTCTGACTCCCTGCTCCCCTCACCACACTTCACCAGCCCAGCCCCCATGGGGATTACCCACCTTGGCCAAAGCGGCCCCGATCAGCCCCCCGCACAGCTGGGAGATCCAGTAGGGAAGGAGCATCACCAGGTTGAGGCCTCCGATCAGCATGGCTGCCAGGGACACCGCAGGGTTGAAGTGTCCACCACTGTCACCCGCAAAAGCAGAAGGAAGCCTTGAGACCAAGGTCTGGGCCGGCCCCCGAGAGAATGTGCCAGCCGGCCCCCAAGCCTGGCCTTGCAGTGCCAGAATGAGTCCAGGACCTTGCCAGAGTAGAAAACAGGCACCAGATCTCACCCATTTTCCCGGAGGTGCCAGGTGGTGGGGCGAGGGATGTGGGGGAGAGCCGGGGAGGAGACAGCAGCCTCCTTCCTGTCCTACACCCAGACCCCACGGTGCCCAGAGAAAGAACATGGTGGGTGACCATCCCTCAACTCCTTCCAGACTCACTCAGAGCTCCAGCCCTTGAAAGATGCAGCCACCAGTCAGAATGAGACCCCCAAGTCCAGATTAGTAGACAGAGAGAGGTATCCTGGCCTCCCCTTAAAAAGAGCTCCCGAAAGCTGAACTCTGCTTTTCTCCAGGCTGGAGTAAAACCCCCTCCCAATGTCAACCACACAGCGACCGAGCGCTTGGTGCGGGCTAAGCTCTCTCTGTCACGTAATTCCCACGCTGCCCGCCTGGGGCTTGCCTCCCGGCTCTGCCACTTACTGACCATGCAACCTTGGACAAGTCACGTGGCCTTTTGAGGTTACACCGGGAAAATGGGGATAATAATAGCAACTACCCCCAGGGGGTGTTATGAGGATTCACTGAGTTCCTATGTAGAAAGTGCTTAGAACAGTGCCTGGCACTTGGCTAGCATTGAATATGTGTGGGCTTGAGGAAAAAAACTATAAAAAAAAAAAAAAAAGGGGGCGCCTGGGTGGCTCAGTTGGTTAAACGACTGCCTTCGGCTCAGGTCATGATCCCAGGGTCCTGGGATCGAGCCCCGCGTCGGGCTCCCTGCTCCGCGGGAAGCCTGCTTCTCCCTCTCCCACTCCCCCTGCTTGTGTTCCCTCTCTCGCTGTGTCTCTGTCAAATAAATAAATAAAATCTTTAAAAAAAAACAAAAACAAAAACACCTCTCTTCTTCCCCTGTTATTTGGGATTTGGAGAGGGACTTACCCAAAGCCACAGAGCCCATAAGCTGCAGAGGCAGGATTCGAACTCGGGCAGTCTGACTCCCCAGCGCACACTCCCATCTACAGTGCACTTGGAAGCCCGAGTACCCGCCCAGGGTCCCCACTGATAGCCTTGCTCCCCACCCCCCGCTGCCCAGGTTAGCCCAGACTGATGGCTGGGAGCTCGTCTCACCTGATATTCCCCAGTGTGGCGATGATGAGGCCCAGGGCCAGCCCGTGTGCCAAGGCCGGCTGCAGCAGCCCCGTGTCCGTCCCGTTCTCGATGACCGACAGGCAGCCGATGAAGATGAAGAGGGCAGAGCCCAGCAGTTCCACCAGACAGGGCTGCAGGAACCGCTCGTACCAGGACCCACAACACCTGCCCCCCATGCTTGGCGCCTTCGCCTTGCCACCGCCAAATTCAGGGTCACACATAGACATAGCTGCCTGTGGTAGGAAAAAGGGAGAGTGGGCACGGGTGGGAGGAGAGCCCAGAAAGAAGCCCCCAGTGCCACAGCCTTGAATCGATTCTCAGCACTCCCTTGCACGGCCCAGTGACAGAGGCAGCAGGGAGCTCACCTCTGCAGACATCAGGGCCAAAGCGACCTGGAGCCTGCTCGTGCCTGAGCTGGCTGGGAAACCCACACCTGCGCTACTGGACCCTCTTATCTCCGGGACCAGGGCTGCTGATCTGCTTCAGGCTCTGGCTCTTTTAAAGGGCTGCAGAGGCTCCCCGAGGGTGCCAAGAAAGCAATAAAGCGGGGGTGGGAGGTGGCCCTGGGGCCCAGCAGAGGAAACATATTTTTTTTATCTCAAATGGGCAGGGCAGGGAATGGTCAAGGATTGCTGAGCTTTCTGCCAATGAGCAAAAGTCACAGGCTTAGCCGCATCACCTGGAGAGCGCTCCAAGCCTTCCCCAGCAGGGCCCAGCACCCCCAGCTCCCTGAGGTCACCATCAGGGTCCACCAGCATGTGGGTAGGAGGAGGGCTCCAGTGAGTTGGGACCGCGTGTGTGGGGAATAATGGCAAACTCATCTTCAGTGATTTTTTTTTTTTAAGATTTTATTTATTTGCGAGAGAGACAATGAGAGACAGAGAGCATGAGAGGGAGGAGGGTCAGAGGGAGAAGCAGACTCCCTGCCCAGCAGGGAGCCCGATGCGGGACTCGATCCCGGGACTCCAGGATCACGACCTGAGCCGAAGGCAGTCGCTTAACCAACTGAGCCACCCAGGCGCCCCTCTTCAGTGATTTTTTCCACGGATTCCCTCGGACATCTCCTCGTAGCTCAACAACTGCACTCAGTCACCCTCAAAGGCTGATCCAGGACTGAGTGTGTGGATGGATGACCGTCCCCCAATGGTCAGAGGCAGCCAAGGCGACACCATGCGCCATGGGATAGCCTGTGGGCTTTGGAAACAGGCTGCCTGGATCTCAGTCCCAATTCTGCCGTCAGCTGGTCGTGGAAACTTTCCACTGTGGATGGTGTAAGAGTACTAGCGATGTGGGGTCGTTGTGTGGTTTGAATGAGTTAATATAACAAAGAGCTTACAACAGTGCCAGACACACGATCAACACAACACCAGCATCTACTGATTAAGAATACAGATTTATGTTTATATATTTATATTTATTGAGCAATTTCTACATGCCTTCTACCTGCCAGGCACTGGGCTAAGTCCCTTCTATGTAGTATCTCATTTAAACATTACAGCAACCCTGTGAGGTGGGTACTATTATTATAGCATGTTATACACAGGGAAGTGGAAATTCAGGAAAGTTATGTTTCCCAGGGTCACTTCGGTTTTGTGATTGCAAAACTGGTGGGCTAAGTCACAAAGGACAAATACTGCATGAGGTCCCTGGAGCAGTAAGATTCATAGAGATAGAAAGTAGATGGTGGTTGACAGGGGTGGGGGTGGGGCAGAGGGGACTGGGGACTTGTTTTTTAATGGATGCAGAGTTTCAGTTTGGGAAGATGAAGAAGTTCTACAGATGGATGGTTGCACTACTTAATGACACTGAACTATACACTTAAAAGTGGTTGAAATGGTAAATTTTATATTGTGTGTATTTAACCACAATTGGGGGGAAAAAATAACTTGTGGGTTAAGCCACTGCAGTCTACCGCCTTTCTAAGATGGATGGATGCATGGATGCATGGATGGGTGGATGGATGGATGATGGATGGAAAGAAAGAGGGAAGGAAGCAAGGAGGGAAAGAAGGAAGAAAGGAAGGGAAGGACAAAGGGAAGGATGGGGGAGGGTCGGAGGAAGGAAAGAAGAGGAGAGAGATGGGTTTCTTTATTCGTCCATTCAACAAATATTTAAATACCTACCATGAACTAGTTCTAAGAGCTAACTGGAAATGTAGCAATGAATAAGGCAGGCGAAGATTCTTTCAGTGCTCATAACTATTATCTGAGTGTTTTTCTGTACAGATAGAGATGCATAGAGAAATAGGTCAGCGATAAAAGAATTTAATGAAAATGCCTACATATCCAACACTGTGCTAAGCCCCCCGCATCTATTCACAACAACCCTGTGATTTCTTATCCCTATCTTCAGATGATAAAATCAAGGCACAGAGAAGTTGAAGAAATTGCCCAAGGTTGTATAGATAAAAAGTATTTGTTTCAGGACAGAGAAGATGCATCAAGGGTATGACAGTTTGCTGAAAGCTCTTTTCAGCTGGAGGCTCCAGAATGCAGCCCCTCTTTTGAATATCTGCACATTTCGGAAAGTTTAGGGTTGATTATCTTAAGACCCGTACCCTCCCTCCTCTGTGCCCACTGCACACCATACATGATGTCTCTTACACCCTTCCTCCAGTGTCCTTGCAAATGGCAACACGAGACAACTGTCCAATTTTCTGCTTCCCCCATCTTCTTCACGCTTTGCCCCAGTCCTGCCAAGAGCTGCTTCCAGAACATTTCTCTCCTGGTTTCACCCAGGCCTCCATCAGTTCTTGCTTAGTCTCTTGAAAAAAAAAAAAATCAAATGGTCATGATACACCGGCCAGGGGCTAGGCCCCGCCCTGGACACCTCACGTGCACTCCGTCGATTAATATTTACAATCATCTAGTATCTTCCCCATTTCACAGGAGGCAGGAACTCCCAGCTGGGCCTGCTATAACTCCTCATCACCTAGCTCATCACCCTAGCTTCACCCAATTTTAATCTGTTCCTCCCATACTGGAACCAGGAGGGCACAGTTGGGCACTTTGGTCCAGGTGGGGAGTCAGGCTTCTCTCCTTTCGCCTGCTGGCTTCTCTCTCAGCCTCAGTGTTTTCTTCTGGAAAAGTGAGCTAATATGAGACAGTGCACTGAGCACAGGGCCCAATTCAGAGCAGGTGCCCCATCAATAATCCCTATTATTATGGTCTGTCAGAGTACCTATTTATCAGAGTAGGCTAACCCGTGCAACAAAAAAACCAACGTTTTGATGGCTTCACATAATACGAATTGATTCATTGCTGACATAATAGTTCATAGCAGGCCCTTTATGACATGGTGACTCGGGGATCCAGGCCACTGCCACCTTAGGGACTCACCATCTAAGTCACCAGCCAGCAGATGGGGAAAGAGAGGACATGGGGGTTGTTCGGGATGCTTTTATGAGCTAGGCCTAAAGTGGCAAATAGCACTTTCATCCATATTTGATTGACTAGAATTCAGTCCTGTGGCTTCGCCCGACCACAAAGGAGTCTGGGAGGGGCGCCTGGGTGGCTCCGTCGGTTAAGGATCTGCCTTCGGCTCAGGTCATGGTCCCAGGGTCCTGGGATTGAGCCCCACATCGGGCGCCCTGCTCAGCAGGAAGCCTGCTTCTCCCTCTCCCACTCCCCCTGCTTGTGTTCCCTCTCTAGCCGCATCTCTTTCTGTCAAATAAATAAATAAAACCTTAAAAAAAAAAAAAAAGGGTCTGGGAAATGTAGTCTGTGTGCCCAGGAGGCAAAAGAAAGGCGTTTCGTGAGCACCGGAAATTTCTGCCACAGGGCAGTTGTTGTTGCTCCCCAAACTGTCCACCTAATCACGTCCCTCCCTGCATCAAAACCTGTCAGCCCTTCCTGTGGCTTTCAAGGCAAAACCAAACTCCTAGAGCCAGCCACAGAGACTGTGAGTCCTGATGTGGGAAACAAAGGCAGAAGAGAAATTATTAAATTTCCTGACAACCTACAGCCCACTGACAAGTCCTTAAAACAGGCAGAGTGACATTCCTCTAGGAGCTCTGCTGCCTCAATGTTGATACTTCTCTCGGGGCAAAAGGCAATCCTAGCCTGACCCCCCAGGACCCTGTAAGTCTACTTTAACATACAAAAATTCCTTTGGAAACTTCCTTTATCTCTACCCCCCAAGATGCACGTTGGCAATCATCCCCCAAGCATATGACCCACTGATATACATCTGAAGGGTCTCATGACTGAGTTTTTACCAAACAGTAATAAATGACCTTTTCCCAACAATAGCTAGCCCCCTCAAGATCCTGGAAAACTTGTTTCCAAAATACCTGGGAGGCTTGCACTATCCCTAAACCCCTCCCAACTTGAAAGTATATAATGGGCCGCTCCTCATGACCCCAGTACAGCAGCTCTTTCTGCCCACGGGTCCTGTCCTTGTGCTTTAATAAAACCACCTTTTTGCACCAAAGATGTCTCAGGAATTCTTTCTTGGCCGTCGACCTCGGACCCTATCTTTCCTATATCAAGTCCAACCCCTGACTCATCTCCTGCCACATGAACCCTAAACAATGTGTCAGATAAGCCAGGCGCCCGCACCCCTCCCTGCGCATGCTGTTCCCCATATTCGGAGTCCTGTTTTGCCCCCTGGGCCAGCTTCTACTCCGCACTCAAATCTCAGGCATCCACCCTCCCTGACCCCTGGGCCAACTAGATGTCAGTCCTTGAGACATGCCCTCCCTCGCCCGAGCCAGGGCTGGTCTCAGTAGCACCAAAACCAGCGGTTCTCCAGGGGAAAACTGAATGTCATTCGGCAAAACAACGTGTTTCTACAACTCAGGATTTCTTGCCTGGCCTGATGTCCCCATACACAATGCCTGGTCTCCCCAAACCATTAAAATAACTGGTGGGCTAGGGAGATAGTGTCTTCTTAAGAACTTGTTTGGCTTGGCCAACTTTTCAGGCTTCCAATCCCGGGTTTGGTTGACATGACTGAGGCCTAATTTTTAATCCCTGTTTAGATCCCTGTTTAGTTCAAGATGTCTCTGCAACTGTAGGTACCTGTCTGCCATCCACCACCAGGTCCAGATGGAGTATAAAAGCAGGTCTATTTTATCCCGTCACACTGCCCTTCCTTCCTTTCTTACTTTGATAGCTGCATTGTGGTGCAAGAATATGATGCTGGCTCCACAGCAGCCATCTTAAGACCATGAGGTACAACTTGCCAGAAGGGTGGATCTTTGATGATACCACCAAGCCCCCAGAGTAAGTCCAAGATCAACTACTTCATTCAGGCTTTCTTGTTAAATAAACCTGCACTTCCCAGATTGTGTACCGGGGCACCCCAGAGAGCTGCACTGAACTCACAGAGGGACTACAGGGTATTATAAAAATTTCAAGGGAAATATAGTGATGCTCAGTATCTGTCAGACACCATGTGAATGACTAGCTCAAGGTTGTTCAAAGTCGTAATATTAAATAGCCCTACATTCCTTCCAATAACCTTATGTCTTTGCAAAGCTGGTTTTATGGGGGTTGCCATAGTAAAAAGTTAAGTACCACATAAAAATCAATGTGGAAGAGGAAAGGTAGGTGGTAGTGTCCAGTCCAATTTCAAGGTCTGGGAAATTGTGCGGTGCCCAGAGGTACCCACATCCCACCTGTAGCATTTAAGAATGGAAGTTATTTAAGAACTCAGTTCAACTGAGTTATTTATAGTCATTTGAGAATGAAATTAAAATAGAAGTAAAATGGTTTTCCTTTCAATATATGTGTATTATTTTTTTTCAAATGGCTACAACTAAGTTGTTCAGACATAAATATGATGTTTTTTGGACCTAACTATTTATTTAATAAATAGGACTATTAGGTCTTCCTTTTGGCCCAGGAACGGCGTGAACCAAGAAAATTTGGGAGCCTCTGAAATAAACAATGTATGTCCTGTTTCAGGAACTGGGAGTTGAGTTTCATATCACTTGTAGCAGAGAATATTTCCAGCTGATACACTCCCTCCCAAAATCCTGGCCAAACTAGGCTTTCAACTTAATAATTTCTTCCTGAAACCGGCCACTATTTGTAATGCAGATGTTTCACAATTCAGGCTGATCCTGAGATGGACAGTCACAGAAACTTAAGAGCAGAACCTCTCAGCTTTTTCTGAAGCTGTGACTTTCTTTCCCTCAAAATCACCGCGCTGCCGTTTGCAGCATATGGTTACTTGGAGCTCAGGGCAACTTACTTGTTGGAAAAGAGTCTAGTCTGCTCCTCCTTCTCTCTGCTGAGCGGGGGGTTTCATTGGAACCTGAGCCTGTTCTTTCCCCATAGCAGCCACCAGCACCCTATTTTCTCCCCTGCAGTGTCCACTTCAAATACTGATGTCTTTTTAAAAGATTTTATTTATTTATTTGAGAGAGAGAGCAAACAGGGAGTCAGAGAGGGAGAAGGAGACTTCCCGCTGAGCAGGGAACCCAGCTTGGGGCTCGATCCCATAACCCGGAGATCATGACCTGAGCTGAAACCAAGAGTTGAGTCTTAACTGACTGAGCCACCCAGACGCCCCCAGATATTGATGTCTTCTGAATCACTGGTAACCAGACATGGACATGTCGGTTACTTAGAACCCTTTATAACCAGGAGGGCATTGGACTAAGCAGCCTACTCAGTCTCATCGGTAAGCATTCATTTGTCACCATCTGTTTATGTTGAACAATAATTAAAATGGTAGAATAACAGCCACCATTTACTAACGACCTCCTGTGAGCTGGCACCAAGAGCTTAATCCACACGCACGATCTCGTCTTTTTTTGCTTCCACTGTTATCCTTTTGTCTGCTATCCAAATTAAATAACTCTACAGGAGAGGAAAGCCAAATGGCCAGCAAACATGAAAAGACAATCACTCTAATAGCCAGAAAAAAAAAAAAAAAAAAAAAAAAAACACCACAATTCAACTGAAAGCAACAGAACAGGAATTTTTTAAAAACTGATTAACATCCAAAGCTGACAGGGCGGGGGGGGGGGGGGGGCGGGGGGAATAGAACAGTTCCCGCATTGCTGGTAGAAATGTGAATGGCTACAGTATTTTGTAACACAATCTTGCAATATTTACCAAATATTTAAATTCACAGACCCAGCAAGCCTCATATTTGAAAACCGATCCTATAAAAGAAAAGCTCCAATAAGTAGGAGTATATGTACAGGGATATTGATTTCATCCTTGTTTATTGTAGAAAACTCTGGGAACTCCCTGAAAGATCATAATTATGAAAACCGTTGAACTAAGTAGGAAATATCTTCCCCAGAACGCATGTCTCTTTTTAGTGTCCGGAACATTCCATAGTTCTATATACCCTCAAGCCTCTGGATGGTCTGTTTCCTTTACCCACAACTGCTTCCTGAATCTGGCAAAATCTTACTCATCCTTCAAGTCTGAAAAAAGAGATGATAATGTTTGTAAAGGGAGTAAGAAAGTCTCATGGAAAATGTAAATCATGTAGGCTGGCTAACAATTAGATGAGTGTCACGAAGTGGAAGAAACCAGAGACAAAAGAGCACACGTCATACAATGTGAAGTTCAAAAGTAAGCAAAGGACGGGGCACATGGAGATTTCCAGGATGCTGCCCATCTTCTGTCTCTTGATCTGGATGCTCCCAACAGGGTGAGTTCACCTTAGGAAATTCACTGAGCTGTTACAGTGTGTGTGGTTTTCTGCATGTATATTACACTTCAATAAAAAGTTACAAATAAACCAGTCTGTGTTTAGGAAGTTACCTTCTGGACAAAACCAGGAGGAAATCTGCAGTCAATCTGGGGTCCCTAGAAGAGAGCACCGAATTCAGTCTCTAGTTCGTGGGCTGCCACATTTTATGCCTATAAAATATGAGAATATGCGCATTTAGAAATCGCCTTTTAAAAAAAATCAGAAGGCTTCACTACACCTTTTATTATTCCAGTAATTGAAATTGTGGTCAATAACGACAAAGTTTAGGGGTCAACGAGCCCTATCCCAGATGTCATAGGGAGCATTTAGCAAACATGACCCTGTTGACTCCTCACTCTTCATGGCAATCTTGTGAGGCAGGTCCTGTCCTCATTTGGTGGACGAGGAAATCAAAAGTTCAAAGACCTGGCAACTCACTGAAGGTCTTAAGTCACTGGGCTCAGAGTCAGTTGCTAACTGGAGCGCCTATGCTTTTCATCTCAGGACACCTGGGTGGCTCAGTCTTTAAACGTCTGCCTTCGGCTCAGGTCATGATCTCAGGGTCCTGGGATGGAGCCCTGAGTTGGGCTCCCTGCTCAGCGGGGAGCCTGCTTCTCCCTCTCCCTCTGCTCCCCACACTTGTGCTCTCTCTCTCACTCTCTCTCTTGCTCTATCTCAAATAAATAAATATTTTTTTTAAAAAAAAGAGGTAAACTATCTCAAAACAGAAACCAGAAGTATCTTTTGGATTTTTAAAACTTATTTCTTAAACAGCTTTACTGAGGTATAGCTGATGGACAATAAATTACACGTATTTAAAGTATACAGTTGATGTTTTGATGTATGTATCTACCCATGAGACCATCATCACAATGAACGTATGTATCGTCCCCCAAAGTTCCCTTGTGACCCTGTTCTTGTCTCTAGGCAATCACAAATCTGTTTTCTGACACTATAAATAAGTATGGGTTTTCCAGAATTTTCCATAAGTGAAATCAACCAGTATACGCTCTTTTTCATCTGGCTTCTTTTTCTGGCTGTATTTATTTTAGATTCATTCACATTCTAGCATGTACGGAGTCCTCTTCCTCTGGTTGCTGTGGAATGTTCCATTGTACGGTTTATACCACAACCTCCTTACCCACTCCCCTGCGGATGGACATGGTCCAGTTTTGGGATGCTGCCAATAAAGCTGTTATGAACATTTTTGTAACAAGTCTTTTGGTGACGTGTGCTTTCATTTCTCTTGAGTGAGTTCCTCAGAGAGGAATAGTGAGTGTGAGTTCAACTTCTAAGAAACTGCCAAGCTGTTTTCTGGAATGGATGTACATTCCCACCTGCAGTGTATGAGCCTTCCGGTGCCTCCTTATTCTCACCAACAGTGGGTATGACCAGTCTTTTGGAATTTAGACATTCTAATTTGCACTAATTATGACTCATTTTGTTGAACATTTTTTTTCATGTGCCTATTTGCCACCAACATGTCTTTGTTGAAATGTCTGTTCGAATCTTGAAAGCCCATATTTTAAAATTTTGGTTCCTTGTTTTATTGTTATTTAGTTTTGGGAATACTCTGGATACAAATCCTTTCTCTACTTTACGCAATATTTTCTCCTGGTCTGAGGCTCGTCTTAAGCATTAAAAATTTACCATTTTAACCATTTGTAAGTGTACATTTCAGTGGTATTAAGTGCATTCACATTATTGTGCAGCCATCAGGACTAGCCATCTATAGAATTTTTTCATCTTCTCAGACCAAAACTCTTTACCCAGTAAACAATAACGCCATGCTCCCTGCTCCCCCAGCCCCTGACAACAAGCATTCCACCTTCTGTCTCTATGAATGTGACTACCCCAGGTACCTTATATAAGTGGAATCATATAGAATCTGCCTTTTCATGTCTGACTTAGCTCACTTAGCATGATGTCCTCAAGGTGCATCTATGTTGTAGCAGGTGTTAGAACCTCCTTCTTTTAATTTTTTAATTTTTTATTTTTTTAAGATTTTATTTATTTATTTGAGAGAGAGAATGAGAGAGAGAGAGAGAGAGAGAGCATGAGAGGGAGGAGGGTCAGAGGGAGAAGCAGACTCCCTGCCGAGCAGAGAGCCCGATGCGGGACTTGATCCTGAGACTCCAGGATCATGACCTGAGCCGAAGGCAGTCGCTTAACCAACTGAGCCACCCAGGCGCCCAAGAACCTCCTTCTTTTTAAAGACTGTATAATATTCCATTGTATGGATAGACCACAGTTTGTTTATCCTAGTTCATCCATGGATGGATGTTTGGGTTGTTTCCACCTTATGGTTATTGTGAATAATGCTACTATGAATATGGATATAATAATGCTTTCTTGATTGCTCACCAAAAAAAAAAATAATAACCTTTTTCCTTAAAATTACAGAAGTTGCCTTTTTCCTCTGTATCAGTGGTTGGCTTCCCTAACATCTCTCTCTCTCTCTCACTTGCTCTCTCACCTCTCTGCCCCTGTAATGGATATCTGGCATTAGCATCTGCTTAAGAGCTAATTCCTCTTTCTTTTGGTGACAGCCTCTTTATTTTCCTGGGGGAAACCACAGGTCTTCCATTGGCTCTCAGTTTACATGATTTTGGCAGAGCTGGTAGCCTCCCTCCACCATTCTGCTCCCCAACCTGTCCTCTCCACCCTTCCAAGGGCTGGACAACCACCTGGGTCCAGCCAAGCAGACACTCCAAGCCCCAGGTCATCTTGACTGGCTCAGGGATGAACTTATGCTCCACATGACCATGAACGTGCAATTCTGGGCATTTTTTTCTGGAGCTTTTTGGGAATGAGACATGCTCTTTCTCTGGAGTTGCTGGGGGCGGGGATGGGGGCAAGACACAAGGAGCCACCAGCATCGGTCTTTGCCACCGTGAGGGATGAGCCTGAAGAGAATGGAAAGCACACAGAGGCAAAGAGAACGAACTGGGAGAACAAGGTGGGTGACATCTTTATTATGCCCATCCGCGCCCCCACCCAACCCCCAAATCAGCCATGCTGGACTTTCCCTGGCCTTTTCAGGTCTTCTTTCCTCAGCCAGTTGGAGCTGGGTTTCTTTCCCTTACACAAAAGAAAGAAACAAAGAATCCACTAAACACACTCTCTTTTCTTCCACAGCTTTCATTTCAGAATCCTGAAATCTGAGCAAGCAAAACTGTCCTTGGTGTTTCAGGACCACAGACAATTGCTGGTAGGTGAGGGGCAGGGCAACTCCTTAGTCCTGGGGTGGCCACCTTTCTACCCAGAATAGAGGTGATTAAGAGATAATCTCTCATGAACTCTACAGTTAAATCAGGGATATGTATCAGACACATAAATAACTGTTACATAAGGCAAAATGTGAGAGCAAAAGTCACCTTCAGATGAACTACCATGGCAAACGTTTATGGCTGCCACCATGATGACCGGCCCCCAGACCGTCAGACACCTTGTGCCCTCTGTCACGATGCCAGAAATTCTGACAGTAAGAGCAAACATTTGCATTCCCAATCATCCTCTCTGGGAGTGCAAATACCTCGGTGAGAGTTAAGTATCCTCAAGGGGAAGGGAAAGGTGGCGGGACCAAGTGGGACCCCAGCCAGCAGCCCAATGGAGAGGGCTCAAAAGACATGGCAACCTCTGGTTGGAGCTACAAGGTCGTGCCCACGGCTGGGCCAGGACTTTCTGGGCTGGAACAAGAATGGAAGTCAAGTGGCACTGGACTGTAACGGGCACAGGACCCCGGGAGCAGTGGGGTAGGGGTGGACAGGAACAAAGCCAAGGTCAAGGACTCAGCTAAGTGTACTCTGCAGTCAGGCACTGGCTTGTTCAATAAAAAAACAGAAACTGGAGGTGTCAGTGTGAGATGGGGAGGGAGTTTAAGTTAAGACCACAGGTGTAAAGGTCCTTGGATAGCAATGGCTAACCCCAGACACAGTGGATTCCTGCCTTCTTCCTCAAGTCACACCAACAACGGTGTGAGGCAGGTGTTCTAACTATTAGCCCATTTTACAGAAGAGAGAGCTGAGGCCCATGGAGGGGGAAGGGCCGTTCTCGGGCCCGCACACCTGTGAACTCTGGAGCTGGAATTCAGCCAAGACTGCATCCAAATTGGTGCCTTTTTTACTCTTTAAACTTGGTAAAATGTCATCCTATGATTTTTTTTTTTTTTTACTCCTTAGGTTTGGCGACTCATTGTGCAAATTATTTTCTGTCTGGAATGGTGGTCACACATATGTACAGATAAAGTACAAAGGCACAGCACTGGTAGAGTTATATTTCTCAGTTCTAAATAACTGTCCTTCTGCTCAGGGGAAACACAAACAATCCTATCAACCCGAATAATAAGAATTTTATCTTTGATATACAGATTGTTATCAGTTTAAAAATTTCCAGTTAAAGATAAAGCATACCTTGTATTTCAAGGAATTCTTCACTTAAGCCCAGGAGTGAATAAATTGCTAGAATCAAAATACTCAGTTCCTTGATACCTTGTGAGGTTTTTTTTTTTTTTTAATGAGTCCTTTTAGGCTCAATTTATGCATGGAAATTTATATTGGGGTTCAAAATCATGGATTAAAGATGTCTAAATAGGGGCACCTGGGTGGCTCAGTTGATTAAGCAACTGCCTTCACCTCAGATCATGATCCCAGGGTCCTGGGATCGAGCCCCGCATTGGGCTCCCTGCTCCTCGGGGATCCTGCTTCTCCCTCTCCCACTACCTGCCACTCCCCCTGCTTGTGCTCTCTCTGTCAAATAAATAAATAAAATCTTAAAAAAAAAAAAAGATGTCTGGGGCGCCTGGGTGGCTCAGTCATTGCGTGTCTGCCTTTGGCTTAGGTCATGATCTCAGGGTCCTGGGATCAAGCCCCACATCGGGCTCCCTGTTCAGCCAGGAGCCTGCTTCTCCCTCTCCCACTCCCCTTGCTTGTGTTCCCTCTCTCACTGTGTCTCTCTCTGTCAAATAAATAAATAAAATCTTTAAAAAAAAAAAAAAAGAGGTCTAAATAGTGTTAGGAAAACTGGCTATCCTTATTCAAAAAATAAATAAATAAAGGTGAATCTCGGGGCGCCTGGGTGGCTCAGTTGGTTAAGCGACTGCCTTCGGCTCAGGTCATGATCCTGGAGTCCCTGGATCGAGTCCCGCGTCGGGCTCCCTGCTCGGCGGGGAGCCTGCTTCTCCCTCTGACCCTCCCCCCTCTCATGTGCTCTCTCTCTCTCATTCTCTCTGTCTCAAATAAATAAATAAAATCTTTAAAAAAATAAAGGTGAATCTCTGCTTCATTTTGAACCTGAAAATAAATTCTAAATAAACCTAAGGTTAAAATGTAAAAGAAAGACCATAAAAAGGCACTAAAATAAAACATAGGCAAATGCTTTCATAATCATAAAAGGGGAGAGGCATGGCACACATACTAGACACATTTTACTATATAGTAAAAGGGTCTATCAGCCTAACCAGATAAAATGTAGGACTTCTAAAACAGAAAGGAAAAATGATTACCAGAAACAAGAAAAATGAAAAACTGGGGGGAAAAATATTGCACATAATTATACAGTATTCCTCTCCCTACTATGTAAAGAGTTCTTACAAATCAATGTGAAAAAAATCACAGAGAAAAATGGGCAAAAAGCACAAACAGGGAATTTGTAAATAATAAATTCACAATAATATGTGAAAAGACAGTCATAGTAAGTGTAAGAACATCAGTGTGATACCATTTTTTTCCACTTACTGGACTGACAAATTAGAAGTTTGATAATATCCAGTGTTGATAAGTACATGGTAAAACAGGCTCTCTTGTACATAATTGATGAGAATGTAAATATAAATGAGAATATTTTGACAATATGTATCACAGAATAAAATATCATATGCTCCAACCTATCAATTCTATTTCTAGGAATTTACCCTTTGGGAGTAAATAGATAAATATGAAAGGATTTACACACATTGTTGCCTGCCACATTATTTATCATAGCAAATTAATATGGAAGCCATATAAATGTGTATTAACAGAAGACTCCTTAAGTAAGTAGTTATTTTAAATGATGATGTGTACTTGAGTCTGGCAACCTATGGCCTATGGCCCAGCTCTGGCTGGTTGCCTGTTATTTTATTGACTAAAAGCTAAGAAGATTTTCATATTTTAAAGGGTTATCAAACCTCTGTAATATCCTCTTGACCCACAAAGTCAAAAATATTAATTATTTGGCCCTTTATTTTATTTTATTTATTTATTTTTAAAGATTTTATTTATTTATTTGAGAGAGAGAGAATGAGAGACAGAGAGCACGAGAGGGGGGAGGGTCAGAGGCAGAAGCAGACTCCCCGCCGAGCAGGGAGCCCGATGCGGGACTCGATCCCGGGACTCCAGGATCATGACCTGAGCCGAAGGCAGTCGCCTAACCAACTGAGCCACCCAGGCGCCCTCCATTAAGTTTTAATACCACTGATACACTACCTTTATTTATGTACTTCAGCGCCTTGGAAATGGATGCCTTGCAAGTATCCTTGGGGTTCCCCTGGGAGTGTTCCGTGACTCCGGAGGAAACGTGTGCCCCTTTGAAGTACACTGCTCCTGCCAAGTGGCAGTGTTCTTTCCTCAACCATCCAGACTCTCTTATGGCCCGGAAGTCTCTACGCGCCCTCTCTCTCACCACCTCTACCCTAGGTCCCACTCACCTCCATCCCCAGCACTTCCCACAGCACCTCCTGGACTTGCCATGAGATACTGAAATGGCTAAGTTCCTTGTCAGGGGCCACTGCTGGCTGGTGCTCTGCCCCATCAGAGCCCGTGTCTGCCGTGCCCATTGTGAAAACTTTAGAGCCAGCACACAGCCTGGCACCGAATCGGCATCAATGGAAGAACCGAGCAACTGAGACTTGCCTTCTTCCCTACAACCCTCACCCCCCCACACACACCTGTATCGGTTAGCTACTGAGGGGTAACAAACTGTCCTCAAACATACTGACTTAAAACAATAACCATTCATTTAGCTCACAATTCTGCAAGCCGGCGGGGCAGTTCTTCTAGTCTGGGCTGCCTTGGTGGATCTCATTTGGACTCTCCTGAACATCTGTGATCAGCTGGCGTGTTGGCTGGGGCCTGCGTCTGGGGAGGGCCTCATCTGGGACAGCTCATCTCTGCTCCATGTGGTCTTCCTATCCCACAGGCAAGCTGGCTTATTCACACCTTGGTCACCACAGGGTTCCTCTGCAGCAAGAGAAAGAGAACCCCAGTGCGCGAGCACCTTCAAGTTGCTGCTCGCGTCTTGTTTCTTATCGTCCCATGGGCCAAAGCGAATTGCCTGGCCACTCCCGATTCAAGTCCTAGAGGCTGGGGAAGGCTTTACGACCCTCCTCTGTGATCGGCCACACCGCACCACCCACACCAAAACAAGAGCTACTGCCCTTCGTGACTTTGTCCTAGACTTGGTTTCCTGCGATGCTCCTTCTAGCAGCTTTCGCCAGGATGTTCCAAGAGCCCCATTCCCTGCCTCTCAATCCCCAAAGACCAGTCCCACCTCTCACTCCCTCAATGGCTCCCATCTCCTTGCGATCTCTAAATTCTCTCCCCTCTGCGCTCTGGAAGCCGTGATCCACCCTTCAGGGTTCAGACCTCCAGCACTCAAACTCATCCACAATTGAGAAACAATGGGTGGGTAAAACCGGAACAATGAGCCTTACCCAGTTCCCAGAACTCTCCCAGGTCACTTGATTACTCCATCACTAAGTTCATAACAAGTTCTCTGTTTGCAGACAGAGCAAGGCGATCTCTCCCCCATTGAGCTTAGCCAGGTTTTGGATCTTGTTCTCCTTCTCTCCAGGGGCTCAGCGGCCATCTGAGGCCCAGCCTGGAGAGGCGCCTCACTTAAGCCCTACTGCATCGTTGCAGGTGCTGTTGCTCCTGCAGCCATCTCCCCTGCCCCTCCCAGCCCACCCACTCCTTGTTCGGATCTTTAAGCTGACAAACATTAAGTAACCGCCTACCAAGTGTCACCATATTCATAACCTACTGGGGTGACCATCATTCAGGATAGTGCCTGAGTTCCCCCCTCAACTGAATTCCAAGCATGTTTACCTCGAGTAGCTATAAATCAAATGCCTTGATAAGGTAGGATTACATCATCCTTCATACCATGACTACTGAGTCATCAGAGCACTCAATTAGCACGGTAATTATATTGGTTTATTTATCTGTTCATCGGCTTCACTCTCAGTGCCTGATACATAGAAGGTGCTTGATAAATACTTGTGCAATGCCTAAGAGTGATGACAAGCTCAGGGAAGGACCATGAAAGGCAAAGGTGCTGAGTTCCAGCAACAGGGGACGTTTACACAGGGTAATGGGGGAGAGCTTTTCTGGGGAGGTGATGTTCCCACTAAGCTTCAAGGGGGAAGGGCTGAATCAGGAAAGGGAACAGCAGAGGCAGAGTCTGGGCAGGTTAAGGGAAAGAAAGAAGGCAAGGCTGGGAGTGTCAATAGGCAGGAGGAAGATGGCATGGGAGACGGGAGGAGGAGCCAGACCACATAGGGTCTTGGGTCCTGTGGGCCAGGGGAAGGAATTGGATTTCATACCAAGGGGAAGAAGGGTCCTTGGGGCCTTAAAGGGGGGGGTGTGTGGTCATGAAATGGTCCGTTTTATATTTGAGGCAACTACCTCGGAATGAAGCTCTGCTCCTTGTACAGGCTCTTTTACTTTCTTATGAAGACCTTCGCCCTTCCACCTGGCTGGCTCTTCAAAGCATTTGGATCTGGACCACTTGGTCAATTTGACCCCCAGGTCTTCGCTGAGGGTTCTGACCTCAAACTCACTGCTGGGGAATCTTGTATAAAATGTCCGGCTTTCAAGAACAACGCTTAGGCACATCAGTTCTGCAGGCCTCTCTCACTGTCCCCAGATTGTCCCACTTCTACTCTTGAATTGATCTAGTGTCCCAGAGATGTAGAATTGGACTGCACTGTTTTGGACCCATGGAACTTCAGTATTAAGGCACAGGCGCATGCCAAAGGGTCCTGGGGAAGCAGTTGCACACCCAGAACCCCAGCTTTCACAGAGATCTCACTGAAGATGCTCTGGAGAAGCTTCTTGGGTCTCCATGGAGGAGGAGTTGTGCCTCTCTTGAGTATGGAGGCTGGCTGTGATTTTATGGAAACTGGAGCATGTTTCCATCCCTGTGAGGACTCGGGGAAGTCAGATTTGCAGCCTGCTTCCAGTACCTGTGTGAACAATAAAATACGCACAACTCAGGGCCTTTTGCAATTTGTTGAGCTCATGTTCCACTCCCATATTTATTTTGCGTAGTTCTATTAACCCTCTCAATTCCTTTCGTGGAACAAGGAGGGATATAAAAAAGAAAACAAAAAAAATAAAAAAATAAAAAAATTCTTTGCCCATGGCAGGCATTTTATTCATAACCATCTATACCTCCCCCTACCCAAAGAAAGTAAAAAAACTCTAAAATGAAAATATAGTTTGATTCTGCTTTGAACTTCGTAAATTTTGTGATATTATGTAAACATATTCTCTGTGCAGTAGAGCAAACACAATCAGAATGACTCCACATTGGGTGGCTGATGACCTAAAAGCTTTCTAATCTCTTTCTCTCTTGCCCATCTTGGATTACAAAAGCCAGAAATCCAGATATTCTGTGTGCCAGCCCCTATTGCAAGTAGACCAAGTTCTAGGGTGGCCAGATTTAGCAAATAAAAATAAGGGACACCCAGGAAAAGCTGAATTTCAGATAAGCAACACCCAACTTTTTTAGTATAAGTATGTTACTTATACTTTAAAAATTCTGTGGTGTTTTCCTGAAATTCAAATTTAACTAGGCACCCTGTATCTTATTTGGCAATCCTACCCGGTTCCTACCATGAGATATAGGGGAAGTATATTGGAGCACATTTGGGAATAATTTTATTCTGGATAAAAAGACAGAGACCACTGAAGAAAAGACCCATCTTTTTACTACCAGGAATGCAGCTGTGATGCCTGGCAGTCTAGCAGCTACTTTATGATCATAAGGTAACAGAAGATTAAAAGTCAACATCTTGATGAAGACAGAGCATAAAGAGCAAACTGAGGTCTTTAATGATATTCTTCAATATTTTATTACTGAACTGAAAGCATTCTAGATACTCACTGGTGTTTTGGTGGGTTTGAGTTGTTTGTTTTTTGTTTGTTGGTTGGTTGCTTGTTGTTAGTAGCCATTTCTGCTACTAAATACTCAAAAGCCTGACTAAGAACTGTAATTTTGGAGAAAAGGAGTCACTCTTCATCACTGACATCTAGGAACAGCCTCAAAGTTAGAAACGATCCAATCTCATACATGTGGAAATTTATCAGGAATACATGAGTAAATGAGGCAGCAGGGTAACCACACCCTTAAGCAATACTGATGGCAGGGGATTTTCCTGAGCTGTTAGGGGCAGGGATAGAGGGGATACATATAATGCAACAGTCAAAAGCACAAGTTCTAGGGGCGCCTGGGTGGCTCAGTCGGTTAAGCGTCTGCCTTCAGCTCAGGTCATGATCCCGGGGTCCTGGGACCGAGCCCCACATGCGGCTCTCCACTCGGTGGGGAGCCTGCTTCTCCCTGTCCCTCTCCTCCTGCTCTTACTCTCTCTCAAATGAATAAATAAAATCTTAAACAACAACAACAACAACAAAGAAAACAAACAAAAAACCAAAAGTACAAGCTCTACGGCCAACCTGCCTGGCTTCAAATCTACTTCTATCATTTATTGGCTGTATGACTTCGGACAAATTACCAAATCTCCATGTGCCCTTATTTCTCCATCTAAAATGAGGATGAAAACAGAACGTGACATAGACATGTTATAAGGACAGGATGAGTTAATACAAGTAAAGCAATTAGAAACACAAATACATAATCTATTAGTGATCCCAGATAGCATGCAGGCATGCTCCCTCACACGTGGCTGATCATCTAGCCAACGGCGCTCTTCCCTCACCTCTTTGTGTGACATTTCCTCGGGAAAGCTTTCTTGACCAGCCTACAATGGCTAAGCTGCTTCAGTTATGTGAATCTGTGGCTGTCCCACATGTTTGCCACGCTGGATGGCAAGTCATGTTTAACTGTGTCTTCTCAAGATTGGAAGCTCCTGAAGGGCATGTATCATGTCCTGCTGGTTTTTTGTTGAATATAGTAATAAAAGGTTGGGGCACCTGGGTGGCTCAGTCGTTAAGCATCTGCCTTCGGCTCAGGTCATGATCCAGGGTCCTGGGATCCAGCCCCGCATCGGGCTCCCTGCTACGCAGGAAGCCTGCTTCTCCCTCTCCCACTCCCCCTGCTTGTGTTCCCTCTCTCGCTGTCTCTGTCAAATAAATAAATAAAATCTTTAAAAAAAAAAAAAAAGGTTGATGGAAGGAAGAAAGGGACAAAGAAGTCTGCATTGGGGATGGATTGTGAGGGTGTGCTATGGAAATGAAACCCAGAAAAAGCACAATCCAAAGAGAGAGACAAGAGCATTACCTAAGGCCCAGTGACGGTCAGCTGGAGAGTAAGACTATAAATGCAGGATGAGGCTCCATCCCAGCATGCTCTCCTTGCCGGCCTTCGACTGTGGGGGCGAGGTGCTCAGGGCCGGGGCGGACCGGCTCAGGGTGGCATACAGGAGTGCAGGAGGTTGAGAACAAAGGCCCAGAAGCCCAGATGTCAGACAGTGGAAGACCAAACCAGGGGGCCGGGGAGATGGACATGAGAACTCATGCTGCTTGTAAGAGAGCAACAGAATGCGGCTCCCCAGTTGATGAACAGAACAAGAAAAAGCAGAGAATCAATGACTCTGAGGACGCTGAGTGGAGTGGGGGGTCTACTGGCAGAGAAGGCAGAGCCTCTAAAGAAGAGCTATGTAGGAGGGGGAAGGGATGTCGCTGCTTTTAGGAATGCTGAGTTTGCGGAGCCAGTAACTCAGTCACTTAAGAGGAGATGTAAGATGCTCACCTGGAAAAGCAGTCCAGGAGGCATAAAGCAGAAGACAAGCTCTGGGAATCAAAAGCTTATGGTGAAAACAACCAGACAGAAGATCAAGATGGAAATCAAGGACTTGAACAAGCACTGTAAACAAATGGGACCTGACAGACATCTGCAGAACATTCTACCCAGTAACAGAACACTGCACATTTTTCTCAGGTGCACATGGAATGTTCTCCAGGATAGACTATATGTTAGGCTACAAAGATTAATCTTAATACATACATTTTTAAAGACTGGGATCATAGAAAATATCTTTTCCTATCACAAATGGAATGAAACTAGAAGTTACCAGCAGAAGGAAAACTGGTAAATTCACAAATATGTGGAAATGTTTAACCAACGCACCACAAAAGAAATCAAAAAGGAAATTAGAAAATACCCTTAAATAAGTGAAAATGAAAACACAGCACCCCAAAATGTATGGAATGTTGCAAAATAAGGGCTAAAAGGGACATATATAACTCTAAACACATACATCAACAAGATGTGGGGTGCCTGGGTGGCTCAGCCAGCTAAGCGTCTAACTCTTCTTTTTTCTTTAAGATTTATTTATTTCAGAGAGGGGGAGAGAGAGCACAGCAGGAGGGGCAGAGGGAGAGAATCTCAAGCAGAATCCATGCAGAGCACAGAGTCCGATGTGGGGCTCGACCACACAACCCTGAGATCATGACCTGAGCCTAATCCAAGAGTCAGATGCTTAACTGACTGTGCCACCCAGGCACCCCTAAGTGTCTGACTCTTGATCTCAGCTCAGGTCTTGATCTCAGGATCATGAGTGCAAGCCCCCAAAAAAGAGAGAGAAAAAAAAATTTTTTTTAAAAGAAGCAAGATCTCAAATAAAAAATGTACATCTTAAATCTACATCTTGAGGAACTAGAAAAAGAACAAACTAAACCCAAAGCTAATAGAAGGAAATAAGATTACAGCACAGACAAATGAAATAGAGAATAGAAAAAGAACAAAGAAAATACACAGAACCAAAAACATATTCTTGAAAAAGATCAACCAAACTGACAAACCTTTACTATACTGATAAAAAAAAGAGAGGATCCAAATGACTAAAATTGGAAATGAGAGTGGGGACATTACTAATGATTTTACTAATCGTTACTAGTGATTTCTGTAATGAATTTAAAGAAATAAAAAGGATTATGAGAGTACTATAAACAACCATATGCCAACAAGTTGAATAACCTAGAAGAAATAGACAAATTCCTAGAAACCCACTAGCTACCAAGACCAAATTATGAAGAAATAGAAAATTTGAACAGACATATAAATGGTAAGGATATTGAGTTAATAATTTAAAACCTCCAAACAAGGAAAAGTCTGACCAGATGGCATCACTGGTGAATTCTACCAAGCATTTAAATAAGAATTAACACCAATCCTCAAATTCTTCCAGAAAATTGAAGAGGAGGGAGCACTTCCTAACTCAGTCTATGAGGCTAGCATTACTCTAGTACCAAAGCCAGACAAAGACACCATAAGAAACCTACAGACCAATATCCCTTATGATTATTATTTTTTTTTTTAAGATTTTATTTATTTGACAGAGAGAGACACAGTGATAGAGGGAACATAAGCAGGGGGAGTGGGAGAGAGAGAAGCAGGCCTCCCGCCAAGCAGAGAGCCCAATGCGGGGCCTGATCCCAGGACCCTGAGATCATGACCTGAGCTGAAGGCAGACGCTTAACGACTGAGCCACCCAGGCGCCCCATCCCTTATGATTATTCATGCAAAAGTCCTCAACAAAATACTAGCAAACCAAATGCAGCAGTGCATTAAAAGGATTATACACCATGACCAAGTGAGGTTATTCCTGGAATGCAAGAATGGTTCAACATATTAAAATCAATAAATGTAATACACCACAGTAACAAAATGAAGGGGAAAACCACATATTCATCTCAATTGATGCAGGAAAAGTATTGGACAAAAATCACATCCTTTCATGATAAAAATGCTTAACAAAATAGGAATTTAAAAAACTACCTCAACATAATAAAAGCTCTATATGAAAAAACCCACAGTTAACATCACACTTAATGGGGAAAAACAAAGCTTTTCCTCTAAGATCAGGAAAAGACAAAGATGCCCACTTTTGCCACTTCTATTCCACACAGTTTTGGAAGGTCTGGGTTGGGGCAATTAAGTGAGAAAAAGAAAAGGCATCCAGATTGCAAAGGATAAAAGAAAATTGTCTCTATTTCAATAGAATAGGAAATAGGAAATATGCCACCAAAAAACCTATTAGAATAAACAAATTCAGCAAAGATGAAGGATACAAAATCCACACACACAAATCAGTTTCATTTCTATACACTAAAGATAATCCAAAAAGCAATTTAAAAAAATTCCATTTGCAATGGAATAGCATCAAAAAGAACAAAATACTTGGGAATAAACTTAACCAAAGAGACTAAAGACTTGTGCACTGAAAACTATAAAATATGACTGAAAGAAATTAAAGGTGACGACATGAAGGGGGGGAAATCAGAGGGGGAGATGAACCATGAGAGACTATGGACTCCAGGAAACAAACTGAGGGTTTCAGAGGGGAGGGGGGTAAGAGGATCGGTTAGCCCAGTGATGGGTATTAAGGAGGGCATGTATTGCATGGAGCACTCGGTGTTATATGCAGACAATGAATCATGGAACAGTACATCAAAAACGAATGATGTACTGTATGGTGACTAACATAAAATTAAAAAAAAAAGAAATTAAAGACAACTTCAATAAGTAAATGGAAAGACATCCCATATTCATGGATAGGAAGGCTTAATGTTGTCAAGATGTTATTACTACCCAAACAATCCACGGATTCAATGCAGTACCTATCAAAATCCCAAAAATGTTTTTTGCAGAAATAGAAAAACCCACCCAAAAATTCATATGGAATCTCAAGGAAACCCAGATAGCCAAAACAATCTTGAAAAAGAACAGAGATGGAATTCTCATGCTTCCTCACTTAAAAACTTACTACACAGGTACAACAAAACAGTGGCATAAAGACAGACAAATAGACCAAGGGGATAGAGAGCCCAGAAATAAACCCTCCTGTATATGGTCAAATTATTTTTGACAAAGATGCCAAGACCATTCAGTAGGCAAAGAAAGGACAGTCTCTTCCACAAATAGTGCTGGGAAAACTGGATGGATACATGCAAAAGAATGAAGATGGAGCCTTACCTGCCATGTACAAAAATTAACTCAAAATGTACGAAAGACCTCAATATAAGACCTAAAACTATAAATATACAAATGGCTAACAAGTATTTGAAAAGATGCCCAAGGTCACCAACCATTAGGGAACCACAAAACAAAATTACCTTGAGATTCTACTTCACACCCATTAGAATGCCTATTTGCAAAACAAACCAACCCAGAAAATAGCAGGTGTTGCAAGGTTGTGGAGAAACTGGAATCTTTACATTAACTGACAAGAATGTGAAATGGAAAACAGTATGGAGGCTCCTCAAAAAATGAAAAACAATTATCATATAATCCAAAATTCCACTTTGGGGATATACACTAAAAAGAATTGAAAGCAGGAACTCAAACAGGTATTTGGACACCAATGTTCACAGCAGCATTATTCACGGTACCCAAGAGTTAGAAACATCTAATGTCCTTTGATGGATGAATGAATAACCAAAATGTGGGAGAAGGAGGGAGGCGGAGGGAGGAAGAAGCCTATGGTGACCCATGAACACCAAGTCCTGGGCTTCCAGGAAGAGGAGGAAGCACTGGGCACGGAGAGGAGGAAAAAGTCCTGGGATCAAGCCCCACGTCGGGCTCCTTGCTCAGCGTGGAGTCTGCTTCTCCCTCTGCCTGCTCTGCCTGCCGCTCCCCCTGCCTGTGCTCTCTGACAAATAAATAAGTAAAATCTTTAAAAAAAAAATGAAAAGTATCAAAAAGCAATACTCACCTTTCCTACTAGTTATGTGTTAAAATTTTCTATTCTATAGTTTTCTAAAATAGTGGACATGATCCACTAAATGGATTCACCATCCATCCACTAATGGCTTGGTCCCAAGAGTCCCCAGGACTCTTAGTGGTCCCCAGGAGTGTTAAAGACATACCAGTACCAGCCTGAGAGCTTCTCCTTGAACTTCTTAAGACTCAAAAGACCCCTGAAAAGGAAGTTACTTTTTCAAGGGGCGATTCGATGTTATTTCACACTGTATCAGTCAACCCCACCAACAGACATGCTGTCCCACTCTCTAGAACACTGACCGGGGATTCTGCCTGGTGGGAGACGGGGCTGTCCTCTCTCTAGGGCTGCCATCCTGCACACACAGGATCAGGTTCACGGCCCCAGTCAACAACCAGAGGGTTCGTCAGGGGTGGACGGGCCTTACATTTCTGAATCACAGGATAAGCGCCCTGGGCCCTACACATCTGTCTAACTCTGTTAGTATTCTGTAGCTGCTGTAATAGATCAGCACAGACCTTGTGGCTTAAAACACTAATACTCTCTTACAGCTCAAGAGGCCAGAAATCTGGAATCCATTTCACTGGGCTCAAGTTGTCAGTAATGCTGGTTCCTCTGGAGGCTCCAAGAGTCTGTTCTCCTGCTCTTCCCAGCATCCGGTGGCCACCTACACAGTTGGTTTGGCCCTTTCCCTATCTCCAACATGCACTGCTCCTCTCTGGCTCCATGAGCACACCTCCTTCTCCTCCCACCCTCCCGCCTCTCCTTGTAAGGACCCTGTGATTGCACTGGGCCCACCCAGATACTCCTGGGTAATCTCCCCATCTCAAGGTCCTTAGCTTAATCATACCTGCAGACCCCCTTTGCCGTATGAGGTAACACATTCAGAGGTTCGAGGGACAGGAGGGGACATTTTAGGGGCCATCATCCAGTCGGTTGCAATAAACAAGAAGGACTTAAGCAGGCAGATCCCGGCCAAGGCAGAGCCAGGAGCCGAGAAGAGCTCTCGCCTTGGGTGGAGGTGAAGGCCCAGGTCAAGGTAAACCCCCACGTGGATGCTGGGGCCCGAGCTGAGGCTGACTCAGAGGGAGCAAGCCAAGGCTGGAGGAAGATTCAGGATCTTTGGTTCCAGCTGACATGGAGGTAAACAAGAGCCCACCCAGGGGAGCGAGGAACGGCGGAGGACCAACGCGTGGGCGATTGGCAACAACAGGTTTATTTCAACGAGAAGTCAACGGGCACAGAAGGTGATGTGACAGCCCTAGGTGCTGAGGCTTCTCAGGGTGTGGGATGAGGCTGGCGGGCCAGGTCTGGCCACCACCCAGGAAATGTAGCCCAGCAACTCTGGGAAGGTCAGTGGCTTCAGCTCCTGGCTCAGCACGGGCCTCCAACAGATTAGTAAGTGATTTCCTTCAAACCTGAGGGAAGGAAACACACAGACGCTGTTAAGAGACTCACACCGTAGAGCAGAGCAAGCAGACTAAGGTGGGAGAACAAGGCACTACCGAACCCCAGGCCCACGGCCACCGGCTTGGGAACACAGGCCACACACCTCCTCACGCAGCTCTGCTCTATTGCGTGGCAAGAGGAGATCATCCACAAGGAAGCAAGGGGTTGGACGAGGCTGTGTTTATGGGGGTTTCGAAGGGATTCAGAAAGCACTGTCACAGCTTATGGGCTCTGCGGTTAACTCCAGAAGTCTACCCACTCAGCAATGAGCCCCGAGCAAATGCAGAGACGGGCGATCTTCACCTCACACGTACAGTACTGACATCACACAGCAGCCCCCGACAGAAAAATGTTCCCGGTATTGTTACTTTATAAAAACTAGAACCAGCTTAATAGGATTACAAAAGAGCTACATTTCCAAAAGTGTGGCAAAGCTGAGTCAATCTGGACATAGTGTCATGACAGAAGTTTTATAATGCCGTGAAAACTATGCTCACTGAGCGTTTCTCACAGCGAGGGGAAACGGCTGTTAGGATACTTAAGTGGAAAAGATCAGGACTCCAAGTACATAAGCGCAGAAATTCAATTCTGCTAAAAAGAAAACATAGCTAGAAAAAGAGTGGAAGGAAAAAGCTACCAGATCTTATCTCTGAGTGATGGGCACGCAGCTGATTTTTCTCTTCTTCACTGGACTTTTTAGAAGCTTCCAAAGTCTCTATTAAGGATGACGTTTTTAAAATTGGAGGTGTGTGTGGGTAACAGTATAAAACCCCACTAATAAATTCTCTTAAATAAAAAGACAAATTTAAAAGGATTTTGTGGGCTGAACTGCTGGGTAAATTTATAAACTACTGGATGGCTAAGCCCCAGGGGGATGATTAACAGCCTCATGTCAGCATGGAATGTTCGAGTGGGAGGCCGCCCTTGCTGTGTCATGTTCTGTGTTTTGTCTGGGCTCCCTGCCTAAGGCTGTATGTCATTGGACGAGTCTGCAGGACGCCGTCCACGGGACACCTGAATGGCGGCTACTCCAGTTAAGGTCACACTGGGATCTCAAATAGTCTCCACGGGGCGGAGAGATGCCCAAGGGAGGACCCCGGAGGAAGCAAGACCCACGTGGGGCAGCTGTAAAGGAGGAACTGGGTCAAGACCGAGGAAGCGAGTAACACTGAACAAGGATCCACGCTCCCGCCACAGCCCTCCTCTGCTAGGCGAGGGGACTTCACCTTAATCACAGAAGGTAAGGGGAGAAATGTGACCCACAGCTGCATGTGTTTGCTGGAGACACACAGAATGATTTGTGTGCCTGACCTCTAGGAAACCTGGTTATAAGGTGATTCAAAAGACAAACATCGGTTACTTTTATTAAGATTACTGCTCTAAACTCTCAAGGTCTCTTCCCCTCCAACAGAGGAAACGCCCGAGGAGACCTCTAAAGGGCTGTGGGTTTCTTAGTGCTGGTACACGTGATTTACCTGAACGATTCACCTGGTCTCTGTGCTACAAAACCAGAGGATACAACAGCTCATTTTCTGCCTATTGCTCTTGGACACATGCATCCGATACTCTAGTTCTTTCCAGGCATGCCTTATGGAGTTTGGAGACAAACAGATCCCCACTTCTAGGGCAAATCAACAAAAGTAAAATCACGTACCTAGTGCATGTCCTCCTTTGGTTGCCCAACAAAGGCAGTAATGCTGCATGAGCTGTTCGAGAAGCTCCATTTCATCCAGGAATTCAAGTGACTCTATTCTGTGGGGAGAACAAAAGTAGGACAATAACAAGCTCTACAATTAAAAATGAAGATGATGACCCAAAGTTTATGAATATGGAAAGATGTTCATATCATACTAAGAGGAAAGAAGAAGAGGGTGCAATATAGTATGTATGGTGGGGTTCCATTTTATCTTTATTATAAAAATAATACCATAAATAAAGTCAAAAGACAAATGACAAACTACAAAAAAACTTACAACACAAATGACAAAGGGTAGATTCCCTGCTCTGTAAAGAGTTGTTATATTTCATGAGAAAAACTTTTAAAACTCATTTAAAAGACATATTCACCGAAAAAGAAAAATAAGACGCTCTCAATCTCATTAAAATACGAGATACTTTTTCAACTATCAGATTGACAAAGATCAAAAAAAGGCCGATATGGACTTTAGCAAGGACATGGGGGAAAGGTGCTCTCCTGCATTACTAGTCGGATTACAAAATGGTACAACCTCTCTGCACGCAACTTGATCTCCTCTATCAATGTTGAAAATGCACATCCTTTTACTCAGCAATTCTGCCTTTAAGATTTTACCCTATGAGGGGTGTCTGGGTGGCTCAGTCGGTTAAGCGTCTGCCTTCAGCTCAGGTCATGATCTCAGGGTCCTGGGATCGAGTCCCACATCAGGCTCTCTGCTCAGTGGGGAGTCTGCTTCTCCCTCTTTCTTTGCCCCTCCCTTAGCTCGTGGTCTCTCTCTTGCTCTTTTTCTCTCTCAAATAAATATATTAAAAATTTTTTTTAAAAAGATTTTACCCTATGAGTACAAAGAGGTACGTTCCAGAATATTCACTGCAGCATCATAGCATAAAACCTTAAACTAGAAGAGCTGGGTTAAATAAATTAAAGCACATTCATTCAATAGGATAATATGCACCTATCTGAAAGAATGGAATAGGTCTATATGCCTTGACACAGAACAGCCTCTAATGCTTACCACAGAGTTCAAAACCTAAGTTGTGTAGTAAATAATGTGCAGGGCATACTATTATCTATGAAAGAAAAAGTGGGGGATATACACGTTTGTATATGCATAGCTCCCCTCTGGAAAATACAGAAGAAACTGGTAATGGTGCTTGTCTCTTGAAGGAATGTAGTAGACTGGTAGTGAGGGGAACAGGATTGAAGGGTTGGTTTTTGTTTTTATTCTACATTACTTTATTCTGTCTGTTTTCTTTTATCATGTGCTGGTATGATTTCTTTTCAAAAAAGCATTTAAAATGTAAGCTTTAAAACATATGCACACACAAAGAAATATGCAAAACATATAAAATAGCTTAAAAATTTTTTTCTGTTAAAATATGGGCACACTGGGGGAAATTTCAGGCATTTCCAAAAAGTATTAAGAAGAAAATTTAAAATGATCCATATGTCCACTATTCATAATAGTCATTGCTAACATTCAGGTATTGCCATTAGTCCAGGCTGGGGGTGGAGGGAGGGGCGTACATATGTGCATTTGCTACACACGTTTCTGTATTTGTGTTTTTGTTCCTGTCTTGGTAGGCAGGCCTAAGGGTCACATCTGAACTGAGAGTGACTATGCATAAGGTACTTGACTTGTCTCCCAACTCATCTTACCAGAAGACACACGAGGCAGATTTGCTTCTACAAAACACCAGCACCATAATGAAGGCTCCAGGATGTTTAGCACCAAGTTCAGCTCTTAGGAGACACTAGATTGTGAAGCCGTTCCCTAGAACATGAAACTCCAAGGCAGGCGTATCTTTTGGACCATTTTGATCTCTGTTGGTCGCCTTGTGTTTAGGAAAGTACATGGTGCACAGTTGGCACTCGTATTTGTTAAATAAACAGGCTTGCCTTAGACTTCTTTTTTATACATAGTATCCAGCAGAAGCCCCGGGGCAAATGCAGACACAAACTACCAGGCATTCCCACACCTGGGAGGGCTGTTCGTGCGCAGCCTTGCGCAGACAGACCAAAGCCCTCCCACCTCGTTCCCCTCCTCTGTCAGGGATACACAGCGCTGACTACACTAGGCCATGGCAATACAAGACAAATGACGGCCTAGAAAAAAGTTGCTCCCGTGACAGCTGCCACCAGTTACGGACTCACCCCTGGGCATCCAGAAGAGCTGCTAGAGCCTTTCTACTTTAGATGCCTGACCAGGGCTATTCAAAATAGCACCTAGACATGTAGCAAAAGAAAACCAGCCTGTGGGAAAGGAAAATTCTAGAAGACTACAGAAAACATGGACCCGATCACATGGAGACATCTCTTTCACAACCCGTCAAGGCCTTGATGTAAACATTTGGAAAAAATAGTCATACTTCTAAAAAATTAATAGCAACTTCTGTGGAGAAGCAAGGCCTAAAATTCTTCTGATTATCTTGTCAGAGACCTATACCTGTAGGTCCCCAGAGGCAAGAGGAAACACAAACCAGGGAGTATAAAGTAACGATAAAACAAGAACTGAATTAAAGCTGGCACGAACACTGCGCAGAGATAAATGTGGTGTTGTTTATAACAGGGAAATTAAAGCACAACAAAGTAAACAATAAGGCACAACTAAATGCCCAGCTCTATACGCTACTTTTTAATTACTATAAAATTATTATCACCAATTAATCCATCCACATAACAATATAAATACTATGCATCATTGAACAGGACACGGGAACCTTCTATATTTGGGTATATTTTGGTATGTGAAGAGAAATACAAGCAATTGTTAAGTTTCTAAAAGAGGACGGTGATTTATAGACCAATGCATGTAGTATCAATCTACTAATTCAAAAACCAGAAACCTATATATCAATAAATATTCACCTTTATATACACATAGAAAAACGCACCTCAGCTTATTAACAACAGCAATTTCTGAAGGTGCAGCTACAGAGTGCGAAACTATTTTCTATTTCAGGCACATCATACATAGCTTGAAAATTGTTTTCAAACAATCTATTTTATAATGAGGGGAGAAGTCCGTTTAAAAATCTGCGAGCAGACTTTTCCCTGAAGCCCTTGGACAACATCATTCTCCTCCTCCTCCAAAACACAGGGATTGTGCAAAATTTCCACTTGCAGAGGGTGCTCTGGGAGTGTTACAGGTGCAATTGCTTATTTTGACTAAAATAATCTGTGCTGGCATAAACCCTATCTCAGTGAGTGGCTAATGAGTTACTCTCAAGGTGCTATTAGTGGTTAGTCTGTATTAGCAGATTAACCTGTTTCAAAATAAATCTAGTTAGGGTTTGAGGGTTTGTTGTTGTTGTTGTTTTTACATTAAAGACAGTTATGTCTTTAACTCATAATTGTTCACCGTGAGGCTAACTATTGGTGATCCCGCACCTGCTCACTTCAGCTTGAGGCAATCTGCTGTACAGTTCCATCATGTCGACTGCTGATGCCGTTTCCCACCCATTCGACAGGAGCCGTTCTTTCTAGAATGTGTGGTGGAGAGAAACGGAGAAGGTACAAGGCACTGGCATACAAATCCAAGACACTCTTAAAGCACATGAAAATTTCTCTTAGATGACTCCTCTTTCAGAAGCCTATCCTGGCCCCTATCTTCCTTCTTCTTATTTTCCAATTTTCTGCACCAAACATGCATTGCTATAATGGGAGAGAAGTCACTAAAGTATATATTAAAGAGAAATATAGAAACTTCTCTAGGAGCAATAGTTTTTGAAAGCATTCGAGTGGTAATGTGACTAAGACATGTAAAATCTAACCTATTTAATGGAGGCAGAAAAAAAAGAAGATATTTAGAAAAATCTATTAGATTCCAGTGGGGAACCTGGGTGGCGCAGTCAGTTAAGCGTCTGACCCTTGGTTTCAGCTCAGGTCGTGATCTCAGGGTTCTGGGATCAAGCCCCGAGTTGGGCTCCGTACTCAATGTGGAGTCTGCTTGAGATTCTCTCTTCCCGCCTCCCGCCCCCTGCTCCTCCCACGCATGCTGTCTGTCTCTCTCTCTAATAAATAAAGTCTTCAAAACAAGGTCTATAAGATTCTAAGAAACTTCACTTGATCTTAAAACTTAAGGGGCATGTCAAATACAAAGATTGGACCATGTTTGGATCCTATTTCAAACACACCAACTATAGAATTTTTTTTTTTTAAACAACTCGGGAGATCTGAACACACACTGCGTAGTGTGTGCTATGAAGGAGTTCTGACTGATTTGTGAGGTGTGGCCATGGTATTACCATGATCCCAGGGGGAATAAAGTCCTTACTGGTAGGAAATTCACACTGAAGCATTTACGGGCAGAACGATATACTGTCTGGGATTTGCCTTAAAATATTCCAGTGACAACACCAACAAAAACTGGGGATAAATAAAACAATATGGACAAAATGTGAATTACTGAAATGGGCTGATGGGCACACGCTATTCCTTTTACTATTCCCTCTACTTTCATGTTGTTTGAAAATCCACATGATGAAAGTTTTAAATCCTAGTGTACAGGAAACGTCCATGTGTATTTTCCACACCAAGGGCTTGGACTTCCCTAGCCTGATGAATTAGCGGCCCCCGTGGAGCCCCAGCTTCTCAGATGTATGAAGAGAAGGTGCCCTTCCCTTGGGGGCTCAGGGCACCAGAGTCCTCACTCTCTGACCTGTGACTCTAACGACTTGCAGGTCTCCACTCCCGCCAGGTCACACTGTCGCCTCCGCAGGTTCTCGATCATGATCTGTCCAAACCGGTCATCCATGTTCACCTGGGAAGGGAAAGAGGAGGCTGGGCACGGCCACAAGGGTTTCTGTTTCTCGAATGTGCAAAATAAGACACTACCACTCTATTTCTAACCAGTCAAGGCTGATACCCAGGGCAGGTCATGGAGTCGGGTGCAGGCACAGTACGCAGGGCTGACAAGGGCATACACTGCGACAGCCCCCAGAGAAGGGCGGCTGGATGGGCTGTGCTCGGCCCGCTAGCACGCTGTTCTGCAGGTCTACTTGCGTGCGCGCACAGGGGTGTGAGAATGTTTACGGCAACATTACACATAACAGGAAGGATCTGGGAAGAAGTTAAATGCCCATCATCTGCGGTCAAAGGAATTCTGGCATGGTCATTTAATGGAACATTGCATTGCCATGAAAATGGGAAAAGAAGAGGATATACATGCAGATACAGACACAGACACAGATACGGAATGGTTTCTTAGGTAATAAACTTTTGAAAGGTAAGGTACAGAGGAATGTGTCGAATATGCTCCTATCTGCCTTTAAGAAAAAAAAAAAACCACGACTCTGTCTACATTTATATATGCCCAGAATAATTCTGGAATCTGGCCATGTCGCTTCCCACGTTAGAGGGCTAAAGTCCAGGGTAGGAGAGAGACTTGCCTTTCCCTGCCTATCCTTTTGTACTATTTGATTTTTAAAAAATTTTGCATGTGCTGTTACTTTTTGCATAAAGAACCATTTTAAACCAGTTTAAAAAACCACTAATGTGTATATACACACAAATGCCACAAGAGAGAACACAATGTACATTATCTAGCGTATGTGCTATTATCCTGTCACACGCAAGGTATCAAAACTTCATCGCTTTAGTATATAAAATGATGCCCAGAGTTCCCGTGACGACGTCGCCAGACAAGACCCAGTATTACTCTCTTTTGGTGGATGTGTGAGGCTTGTGGGGTACCAAGGTCACACTGCCCCCTATTCCTTCAGGATCGAGGGGTGTCTGTGAATACATGCTCTGTTGTTTCATTGCCTGGGTGGATCCTGGCCTGACTCTCTCTAGCTGTGAGGCTGGGTGGCTGTGGGCAAGCTGCCTCATCTCTCTGTGCTTCAGTCCCCTTACTCACAAAACCTGCGGGGCTATTGTGATAATCAAGTAAGTTAACACATGTAAAACTTATGGGATGCGCCTACTAGTCAGCAAATTCTACAAAGTTGCTATCCTTCTTACATCAGTATTGACACGTTCATCATGTATATTTATGCAGTTTTTGTCATTTTAAACTACTGATCAGAAAACCATGGAAGGCATGGGAGTAATTAATACACGTGAGGATGCTGATAATTTTGTCTTTGTTAGAAAATTAAGTTAAATGTTTATTATTCACCAAGTGAGGATGGGAGGTGGGAATTGAGCCAGTTTAGGGACGGCTGTGGACAACGGAGTGAAACCTGGCTACTGTTACACCCATTCACCAGGACTGCAGACTGAGTCTGAGGAGTGCCCCCAATTAAGGAGAGGGAAGGAAGAAAACTCAACCAAGAACCACCTATACAAGAATCTGGCCTGGGGCATGGGGTGGCAAAAAGGTCAACCAGGTCTAGCCTTAGATCTGTCTGTAAGTATGTTGCAGTGGGTAAGGTCTTTACTGTTCTTGTCTGTAATAAAATTTAAAAATAAAATGAGATAAAAAAATAAAGTAAAATCAATAAAAGCAAAATAAAAGAAGCAATAAAAATAGCTACCGTGTATTTAGTACTTGTCACATGCACACTGCTACACATCATCTCACAAGTTCCCATAATAATCCAGAGAAGTTATCCCTTTAAAAACAAGGACCTGGGGCTCAGAGAGATCCAAAGAACAGCTGATGCCTGCCTAACAGCCAGGAAATGCCATAAATGCTCGTGTACAAATTAACTCACTTACTTCTCACTACAACTCTATGAAGTCGGGACTGTTGTTATTCTCATTTTTTGGATAAGGAGACCGGCACAGAGAGGTTATGAAACTTGTCCAGGTCACACAGCTAAGCAGTCTACCTCCAGAGCATGGACTCCCAATCACCATGCAATTCTTCCTAAGGTCACACAGCCACAGATAAAAGCCAGGACCAGGATTCAGACACAAGCTGAATAATTCCAAACCTCTAAAGCATAACCCTTTCCACTAGATCAGAAGAGAAAAACAGGCAGCCAGTGGTCCAAACTCAGTAATCTTAGAAATCAGGAAATTTTATCTTAAAATCCTGCATTGTAACTTCTCCTGAAAAACTGGGAGTTCTCAACTCTAGGCTCAGACACCTACATGGTAACAACTGGCTGGCACTGAGCAGGGGCCCCTCCCGTGAGATGGGACCTGGATGCTCTGGTTCACCATAGTCCCCACCACTCCCGCCTGCCCTATACTAGCCAACTTCATCCATTTGCATCACCGGCCTGCCTCTGAAGGATTCTGAATTTGCTACCCTCTATACCCACAGGACAGCCCAAATACCCTCTACCAAGGTCTATGACTCTACAGTAAATACAACGATAAAAGAAGAACTCAAAAAACTTTTAAAGAGGCCAAATAGAAGTTCCAAAAACTCTGGCTGTAAGTTCATAGGAAATCAAGAAATGAGGGATGTTGGGGATTGCTAGAATCAATGAAAAAGGAGGTATGTGAATGGCCAGAGGCAGAAGGAAAAGAATAAGTGGGAGTACGTACTGAGGTTGCTCGGAGAGTATTAAGCCACCACGGGCATATATGCAGAATGCAAATGTCTCGTGCTCCCATTTACCTGTTCGTAGTTTATGAACATGGCAGTGTCAAAACTGCTGGCTGCCCACTTGAGAAGGTTGGCCGACTGCTCCGGAGTCATGTAAACCAGCACACATTCAGTTATCAGGAGTGTTGGCAATCTTAAGAGAAGAAAAAAAGGCACATACATATGTATTCATCAAACTGGGACTCTCTAGGGATGCCTGGGTGGCTCAGTCAGGTAAGAACCCGGCTCAGGTCATGATCTCGGGGTAGTGAGATCAAGCCCTGCATCAGGCTCCCCACTCAGTAGGGAATGTGCTGGGGATTTCCCCCCTCCTTCTCCCTATGCTCCCCCCCTGCACATGCGCTCTCTCTCAAATAAATAAATAAATAAATAAATGTCAAGTATACATAAAAAAAAATTGGAGCTCTCTAATGGCACACATGGGGCGGTACTGGCGGGGCAGGAAAACCCTGTTTTTCACAGCCCAGGAAAACAAGACACACTGAACAAGCACATCAACAATCAATGTAATAGTTTTAGACTGTAAAAAGTTTTAGACTGTAAAAAGGTGAGCAATGAGCAACGATTTGTCTGGCTTGTGAAAGTGTTAAAGGCGTGTGGTAGTGTGTAAACACGGCTACAAATTCTCCCCTCCCCCCCTGCCCCCCCCCCCCGATAGTCCAAGATGGTGGAGGGGTAGGAGATCTTAGTTCCATCTGATCCTAGGAATTCAGCTGGATAGCTATCAAATCATTCTGAACACCTGCAAACTCAACCGGAGATCTAAGGAAAGAATAGATGAAACTCTACAAATAGAAAAGCGACCATTTTCTGCAAGGTAGGAGGTATGCAGAAGTGAATCCAAGGCGGTATATGGGAAGATAAACCATGGGGAGAGGGAGCCTCCATCAGCCGGCACTGGAAAGTGATAGAGCGGCAGAGCACAAAAACAGAAATTCTAGAAGTCTGCCCCTGTGAGTGACGCCCCTGCCTGAAAGGTACTCAGGTGGTGAAGCAGGGCAGAATCCTAGGTGGGACAGTGTGACCTCAGGAGGTGCCGGAGTGTGGCAGAGCTCCCAGGCATCGGAGCAGGGAAGACGGCTGTAATCAGCAAGCTGAGGAGTGGGCTCTCAGCTCGGGGTTGCCATAAACTGTGAACCAAGGCACGGTCAGGTGACTGCTCTCGGACCAGGGACCCAGCAATTGGCAGAACCACCACAAACCCCTCTTCCTCCCCTGGGAGGAATGGTGCAGGTGCACACCGCAGGAGCTTGCAGGGTTTGGAGACTTGAAATGGGGTCATGTGCCTGAGACAGGAATGCTCGGTCACAGGCTGGATGAGCACGGAGTGTAGTCAGAGATGAGGGAGACAGGAGTGACTGACTGCTTTTCTCTGAGGGCTAACTGAGGAGTGGGGCCCTGAGCTTTGGGCTCCAGGGCCGGAGATTGGGAGGCCGCCATTTTCATTCTCATCCTCTAAAGCTGTGCAGAAAGCCTTCAGGGAACAAAAGCCACAGAGAGCAAACCCGAGCAGATTACTTAGCCTGTGATACAGAAGACAAAATGATGGAGCATAAAGAAGCTGAGAAAAAGAGATAAACAACTACTGGATCACGAGAGGAGAATTTGAGAGATAAGTGATACCGTAAAGTGAAACAATATTAGAATAATTGGGATCTCAGAAGAGGAAAGAGCGGGGGGCAGAAGGTATACTGGAGCAAATTATAGCGAGAACTTCCCTAATCTAGGGAAGGAAACAGGCATCCAAGTCCAGAAGGCACAGAGAACCTCCGCTCAAAATCAATAAAAATAGGTCAACAGCCCAACATATAATAGTGAAGCTTGCAAATCTCAGAGACAAAGAGAAAATCCTGAAAGCAGCTCAGGACAAGAGGTCCATAACCTACAAGGGTAAAAATATTAGACTGGCAGCAGACCTATCCACAGAGACCTGTGGATCCTTTAAGTGAAGAGAGGGCCCAAAAGTAACATAGACCAGAAAGGAACAAAGACATTTTACAGAAACAGTGACTTTACAGATAATACAATGGCACTAAATTCATATCTTTCAATAGTTACTCTGAATGAAAATGGTCTAAATGCCCCAATCAAAAGACAAAGGGTATCGGACTGGATAAAAAGAAAGACCCATCAATATGCTGTCTGCAAGAGACTCATTTTAGACCCAGAGACACCTCTGGATTGAAAGTGAGGGGGTGGAAAACCATTTATCATGCTAATGGACATCAAGAGAAAGCTGGGATAGCAATCCCTATATCAGACCAATTAAATTTCAAACCAAAGACTGTAACAATAGATGAGGAAGGAAACTAGATCATAATTAAAGGGTCTATCCAATAAAAAGATCTAACAATTGTAAATATTTATGTCCTAACATGGGAGCAGCCAATTATATAAACCAATTAATAACAAAATTAAAGAAACACATTGATAACAATACAATAATTGGAGGGAACTTTAACACCCCACTCACTGCAATGGACAGATCATCTAAGCAGAAGATCAACAAGGAAACAAGGGCTTTGAATGACACACTGGACCAGATGGACCTCACAGATATATTCAGAGCAACAGAATACACATTCTCCTCAAGTGCATATGGAACATTCTCCAGAAGAGATCACATACTGGGTCACAAATCAGGTCTCAACTGGTACCAAAAGACTGGGATCATTTCCTGCATATTTTCAGACCACAATGCTTTGAAACTGGAACTCGAGGAAATTTGGAAAGAACTCAAATACATGGAGGCTAAAGAGCATCCTACTAAAGAATGAATGGGTCAACCAGAAAATTAAAGAAGAATTAAAATAATTCTTGGAAGGAAATGAAAATGAAAACACAACTGTTCAGAATCTTTGGGATGCAGCAAAGAGAGGGAAGTATATAGCAATACAAGCCTTTCTCAAGAAATAAGAAAGCTCTCAAATACACAACCTAACCTTACACCTAAAGGAGCTGGGAAAAGAACAGCAAATAGAGCCCATAATGAAGATTAGAGCAGAAATCAATGAAATAGAAACCAAAAGAACAGCAGAACAGATCAACGAAATTAGGAACTGGTTCTTTGAAAGAACTAATAAGATTGATAACCCCCTGGCCAGACTTACCAAAAAGAAAAGAGAAAGGACCCAAATAAGTAAAATCATGAATGAAAGAGGAGAGATCACAACCAACACCAAAGAAATACAAACAATGATAAGAACATATTATGAGCAACTCTATGCCAACAAATTAGGCAATCTGGAAGAAATGGATGCATTCCTAGAGACGTATACACTACCAAAACTGAAACAGGAAGAAATAGAAAACCTGAACAGACCCATTACCAGCAAGGAAATTGAAGCAGTAATCAAAAATCTCCCAACAAACAAGAGCCCAGGGCCAGATGGCTTCCCAGGGGAATTCTATCAAACATTTAAAGAAGAATTAATACCTATTCTTCTGAAGCTGTTTCAAAAACTAGAAATGGAAGGAAAACTTCCAAACTCTTTCTATGAGGCCAGCATTACGTTGATCCCAAAACTACACAAAGACCCCACCAAAAAGAATTACAGACCAATATCCCTATGAACGTGGATGCAAAAATTCTCACCAAAATACTAGCCAATAAGATCCAACAGTACATTAAAAGGATTATTCACAACCAAGTGGAATTTATTCCTGGGCTGCAAGGTTGATTCAACTTCCACAAATCAATTGATGTGTTATACTACATAAATGAAGGAAAGTCAAGAACCATATGATCCTCTCAACAGATGCAGAAAAAGCGTTTGACAAAATACAGCATCCTTTCTTAATTAAAACTCTTCACAGTGCAGGAATAGAGGGAACATACCTCAAAATCATAAAAACCATATAGGAAAAGCCCACAGTGAGTATCATTCTCTGGGGAAAAATAGAGCTTTTCCCCTAAGGTCAGGAACACGGCAGGGAAGTCCACTCTCACCACTGCTGTTCAACATAGTACTAGAAGTCCTAACCTTAGCAATCAGACAACCAAAAGAAATAAAAGGTAGGGGTGCCTGGGTGGCTCAGTCGGTTAAGCATCTGCCTTCAGCTCAGGTGATGATCCCAGGGTCCTGGGATCAAGTCCCACATGAGACTCTCTGCTCAGTTGGGAGCCTGCTTCTCCCTCTGCCTGCCACTCTGCCTACTTGTGATCTCTCTGTCAAATAAATAAATAAAATCTTAATAAATAAATAAATAAATAAATAAATAAAAGGCATCCAAATCGGCAAAGAAGTCAAACTCTCACTGTTTGCAGATGACAAATTGTGGAAAGCCCAAAAGACTCCATCCCAAAATTGCTAGAACTCATACAGGAATTCAGCAAACTGGCAGGATATAAAGTCAATGCACAGAAATCAGTTGCATTTCTATACACTAACAATGAGACAGAAGAAAGAGAAATTAAGGAGTCGATCCCATTTACAACCACACCCAAAACCATAAGATACCTACGAATAAACCTAACCAAAGAGATGAAGGATCTACTCCAAAAACTACAGAACACTTATGAAAGTTGAGGAAGACACAAAGAAATGGAAAAACGTTCCATGCTCATGGACTGGAGGAGCAAATATTGTGAAAATGTCTATGCTACCTAGAGCAATCTACACATTCGCTGCAATCCCTATCAAAATACCATCAACTTTTTTCATAGAGCTGGAACAAATATTCCTAAAATTTGTATGGAACCAGAAAAGACCCCAAATAGCCAGAGGAATGTTGAAAAAGAAAACCAAAGCTGGTGGCATCACAATGCCAGACTTCAAGCTCTATTACAAAGCTGTCGTCATCAAGACAGTATGGTTCTGGCACAAAACAGACACACAGATCAATGGAACAGAAGAGAGAACCCAAAAATGGACCCTCAACTCGATAGTCAACTAATCTTCGACAAAGCAGGAAGAATATCCAATGGAAAAAAGTCTCTTCAACAAATGGTGTTGGGAAAATTGGACAGCCACATGCAGAAGAATGAAATTGGGCCATTTCCTTACACCATACACAAAAAAATACACTCAAAATGGACGAAAGACCTAAATGTGAGACAGGAATCCATCGAAATCCTAGAGGAGAACACAGGCAGCAAGCTCTGTGACCTCAGCCACATCAACTTCTTGCTTAGACATGTCTCCAAAGCCAAGGGAAATAAAGGCAAAAATGAACTATTGGGACTTCAAGATAAAAGCTTTTGCACAGCAAAGGAAACAGTCGACAAAACCAAAAGACAACCGACAGAATGGGAGAAGATATTTGCAAATGTCTTATCAGATAAAGGGCTAGTATCCAAAATCTATACAGAACTTATCAAACTCAACACCCAAAGAATAATCCAATTAAGATACGGGCAGAAGACATGAACAGACATTTCTCCAAAGAAGACATACAAATGGCCAACAGATACATGAAAAACTGCTCCACATCACTCGGCATCAGGGAAATACAAATCAAAACCACACCGGTCCGAATGGCTAAAATTAACCACTCAGGAAATGAGAGATGTTGGCAACGATGTGGAGAAAGGGGAACCCTCCTATACTGTTGGTGGGAATGCAAGCTGGTGCAGCCATTCTGGAAAACAGTATGGAGGTTCCTCAAAAAGATGAAAGTAGAGCTACCCTACCACCCAGCAATTGCACTACTAGGGATTTACCCCAAAGATACAAATATAGTGATCCAACAAAGGGGCACCTGCACCCCAATGTTTATAGCAGCAATGTCCACAATAGCCAAACTGTGGAAAGAGCCCAGATGTGCATTGACAGATGAATGGATAAAGGAGATGTGGCGTGTGTGTGTATATATATATATACATACACACATATATACATACTGAGTTTGGAGAGATTTTGTTACACATCAAAAACTGACAGATACAATGCAGAAATAGTGATACTCATTTAACCAAATCTAATTCTTATATAAATCTTAATCATCAAGAATTGACAACAACCAAGAACAATCTTCAGGAAATTACATTTGTTAGTAAGCACTCTGATTGATAAGACCTGAAGTAATGAACAAATTATGAAATATGAAAAGCAATAAACTCCTAGAGAAATCTCCAAAAGCCTTAATTCTTCAAAGGGAACACAAACAGCCCCAAATTATATGAGCTCTGCTGGTTTATTCCTGGTTCTTTTACTGCTCCTTCTCTGACTCCTTCACTGTATCCTCTTTCTTTCTCTGCCCCTAAATATCGCTGTCCCTCATGGCTAGTTGCTATTTTTCTCACAAAGCAAGTGGGTTACTTTAAAAAAAAAAATTTTTTTTTAAGATTTACTTATCTTAGAGAGAGTGTGTGTGCACGTGGGATGGGGGAGGGGCAGAGGGAGAGAGAGCATCTCAAGTAGGCTCCCCGCTGAGCGCAGAGCCTGCCACGGGGCTCAATCCCATGACCCTGAGATCATGACCTGAGCTGAAATCAAAAGTCAGGCGCTCAACTGACTGAGCCACCCAGGCACACTGCAAGTAGGTTGTTTCTGTCCATGTTTATTGGCGAGGGATCTCAAAACAAATAAATTGTCTGAACTTGAATACCCAGGAAAGTAGTTGAAAAGAACATGGTGTATGTTACCATCAGAATGTACAGCTGGGCTCAGGGCCTGGATTCACAATCACTAGAGAGAAAGGCTCCCCACCAGTAAGTGCCGGCTCTGACCTGATCATATAGCACCAACTATCCACCGTTACTGTTCATCTGGATTTCCTTTTTTTTTTGACAATGAAATGGTATATAACTCAAGTTATTTAAAAATAGATATCCAAATGCTCTCTGGCCCCAACTGGAACATGGTATAAAGAAACTGAGGGCACTAAATCCAGAGGAAAGTCAATGAAGTCCGAGTTGCAAACAAAGTTGAAAATCAGAAAGAATAATTGTTTTAAAATTAGCAATAACCTAAGTTTTAAAACCCCAGATTATATCAACATAAATTATTAGAAAAAGTAAATGAGTGGGGAAAAAGTTCCAAAACCTCAATTAATAGGTTGATAATTAGAGAACTATAGCTCCCAAAACCTTTTTAATGCAAAAGGTGCCCAATTTTACTTAAGACAGTGGGGAAGCCAGGTGAAGAAGGCTATGTGGGAATTTTTTGTACAATTTTTGCAACTTTGTTGTAGATTCGAATTATTTGAAAATGTAAAGTTAAACATTTGTCAGTGTAGTTTTAAGAGGTAGCCATTGGCAATATTAAAAATCGGATTAATACTTTTCAAAATATAAGTGAAAGCAAAGCAAAGCAAACACAGTAGTAAAGGAAAATGCAGAGCACAAATGAAGCCCCATAGAATTATATGTATAATTCTAATACTTGTTCTAGCCACTGCTCTTCATCCATTTTGTAGATGTCCAAAAGCGAGGCAAACTTCCCTATCAAGAGCTAGCCTGATTTATAACTGATTATTTCCCTGATCTTTCAGCAGATTTGCTCCAACAGCGGGTTACTATGGTGGCAATAGGTGGCAGCTGGTTACCATGGTGACCATAGTAATCTAAAGGAGACTGTAGTCTATGTGCCAATTTCTGTTCAACTGCTTTCACAGCATACTTAACTTAATCTTCAGGACCATCTTGTGAAGTAGTTTTTACTTGTGTAGTTGTGAAGAAATTGAGGCTCAAAGAGGCTTCTGGAGGGGGTTTGTTTGTTTACGAAAAAAACTGCCCCATGGGGCGCCTGGGTGGCTCAGTCGTTAAGCATCCGCCTTCGGCTCAGGTCATGATCCCAGGGTCCTGGGATCGAGCCCCACATCGGGCTCCCTGCTCAGTGGGAAGCCTGCTTCTCCTCTCCCTCTCCCCCTGCTTGTGTTCCCTCTCTCACTGTGTCTCTCTCTGTCAAATAAATAAATAAAATCTTTAAAAAAAAAAGAAAAAAACTGCCCCTATTAAATAACTTGTAAGCAGGAGAGGTCGCTTGGAATCCAGGATAAGATTCCAACACTCGGGCTCTCCTCACTCTGAGAGGGCTCCAGGCTTACCAGCGTCACCTTGAGGCAATCTACTGACCACTCACTAACCTGCCCCCAAGAAAATCAGTGGTGTCCTTGAACGTCGAAACTTCCCTTCTGCTGAAAGAAGAACCCCCTACACGCTACGATCTGGGAACCATCTAAAGGGTTCCCCAAAGGAAAAAAGAGGCATATTCCGTACAGTGCGTTGACCTTGCTCTCTGAACACTCAGTGAGACACACAAAGAGTTAGAAAATAAGTACTGGGTCAGTAAGCACCATCCCTGACATCTGCAAAGGTGGACATACAAATCCCAACGATGATAACCTGGTTTATGATTCTAGGCTAAACACGTAAACAAGAACTTCAAAGTGCAGAGGGGTCAGCCATCACCACTTTAACAAAAGATGTATCCGGAAGGTCAAGCTTCAACTCCCTACACTTCCTGCCCTGCATCGCCCAAAGCTCACCTGTATTTGCACCTGTCCTCACCCTCTTCCTCTCCTCTCAGAACGACAGCTTTCCCTTCCCTCCAAGGCTCCTAGCCTCTGTGGGCTCTACGGCCTCTTCTCTACCAGGGATTTCCCTACTAGGTACTCTCTTTAATCACTGGCCACGGATTCTTTGCCTTCAATTTATTTTTAAAGTAACTTTCTGTTTTCCCCACCTTCCCCTCAAGCCTCTCTCTTGAGTTACTCACCCCAAATATTGTTCAAAGTGTCATCTTCACTGACAGTAAGCTGTGTAGACATGTCTTTATCCCCCACTACTGTTAAATTCCAATCTAATTTTGACCAGCATCAGTGTGCTAAAACCACACATCTCACTCCCCTCCACTGCTCCCCAAAGGCACCTGCTCCCAAGAATTTGGTGTGAACCCTTCTGGTCCATTTCTAAAATACTTCTGTAATACATAGGTATAATCATGGAAGTACTGTATTTTGAAGGTTTGATTTTACACATTTGGTATCACACTATGCATATTATTCTGCAACTTGATTTTTTGTTTTATGCAACATTACCCTTTTGAGCTCTCTCCATGCTGATCTAGGTCATGCATTTTACATGTTGCTCACTCATTCTTCTCCTGATGAACATTTAGAATGTTTCCAATTTTCTGCTACTAAAAACAGTGCCTATAATGAACATCCTCCTTGTACAGGCACACAGACTTTCTCGGAGTGCACACATCCAAAAGTGGAACAAACTACTAAATCACATGGTACACATGCTTGCAATTTTAGTAGATACTTCCAGATTGTTCCTCATAATTCACCTGCACCAGTGGCGCACGACCATTCTCATTCTCACATAACCTTGCCAACACTTGATAATGTCAGACTTTCACATTTTTGCCAACTTGGTTGGAGTAAAATAGAGTTCCATCTCATCACCACTGAGGTTCAATACCTTTTTCATATGATATCCAAATTCTTCTTTGAGCTACCTTGTCATCTCTCTTTTGCCTGTTTTCATATGGGACTTACTTTTTTTTTTAATAGTAGCTTACCTTTATTCTGCATACTAATCCTTTATATATCGCAATTATACATTTCTATGCATATAATTATCTTCTCTCAAACTTTATGATGTTAGGCCTCAGTATGTTACAAAAGCAATACATGTGATTCTGATGTGAAAACAAGCTTGAGAAACTTTGCCTCTAAAAATACTTCAGAACACCACTCTCAGTAGCAATGAAACGATAAACATTTCAGAATAAAAAATGGGACACAGGTATAACACTGCAATTTTAACTGGCCTTATTTCATATTAGCAAGAAGTTACAAATGCAGAAGAGGTTAAAAAAAAAAATCTCACTGTGGATTCATGTTACATTTCTTTAGTTTCTCTTCCAGTTCAGGTAAATCTCGGAGATCTGCCCCAATAATGGCGTATCTCTTTGAATCCAACAGGTGTCCATCTGCAAATCCAAGAAGAGATTATCATTTCAACTGAAATTAACCAAGAGATTATAATTTCAATGGGTATGGTTCTTTCAAAATTAAAGTAAACTTATTGTTTTTCTCCATTATAAAAATACATGCTCCATTGTGGGGGGAAAAAAAAAGTCAGGAATGAAGAGGGGAGAAATGAACTAAAATCATACCTTCCAGAGATAACTATTAGTATTTGAGTGTAGAACATCCCGGTCCTTTTTTCTATGTGCTCAAACTCATATATACAAAATAAACACATTCTCACATAAACATACACACACACCTCACACAGAAAAAAGCAAACAGGGCCAATTCTTTCAGAAACTGCTTTTCCTATTTAACAGTAATATCAATGACATCATTCGCTGTAATGATTTCCTAGAGTTCCATGAGTGGATAAAACAACTTACTCAACCAATCTCTCACTATCAGGCATGTGGTATTTCCAAGTTTTCTCCATCTGAGGCACTGCAATGAACATCTTTATATAGACATCATGAAGCACCTGTCAGGTAGGTCTCTCTGAGTGGAATTAGGAGGTCAAAGGGTAAGCCTATGTAAATAATGGTACTGATTGGCTGGCTGCTCTCTAAATGTTTTGCCAATCTGTGAGATACTGTGTTTGAAGGAAAATTGTCTCTATACTAAAGTATTTACAAATAAGATGATAACATTTGCTTTAAAATACTCCAGCAGAGATTGGATGGAATGGTTTTTATACTGGTTCTCAAGCTTTGGCAGCCATCAGAATCACCTGGAGGACTTGTTAAAACACAGACTGATGGGCTCCACTCCCTGAGTTTCTGATTCAGCAGATCTTTCAAAAGTAGAAATTTTTTCAAATTCTTTTAAAAGTTAGAAACCTGTATTTCTAACAAGTGCTTAGGCCGTGTTGATGCCCCTAGTTTAGGACTAACTTTTAGAACCACTGGTACAGATGAAGTTGGTCATAGTTATAGTTAGATGTTGGGCACGTGGAGGTTCACTGATTTATTTTTATGTATACCTAAAAATGTTGTCAATTAAAAGTTTAAAAAATGGATTGTAATTTATTTATTTATTTTTTTACAGATTTTATTTATTTATTTGACAGAGAGAGACACAGCGAGAGGGAACACAAGCAGGGGGAGTGGGAGAGGGAGAAGCAGGCTTCCCGCGGAGCAGGGAGCCCAATGTGGGGCTCGATCCCAGGACTCTGGGATCACAACCTGAGCCAAAGGCAGATGCCTAACAACTGAGCCACCCAGGTGCCCCAAAAACGGATTGTAATTTTTAAAAAAAGGAAACTGCTTGGTTGTTTACCCGAAGCATTGCTTGCTCAGCTTCCTCAAGGGTACAAACCATGGAAGGAACTGGAACATCCAACAGCCATTCTATATCATTGCTAATAGCTCAAGTTCTCTCAGCTCTGAGAGGTCACAGTAGAAAAAGGGAAAGAGGCTAAACCACAGTGTCTGAAAACTCTCATGATGCTGATAACCCAATTCAGCTGACTCAAATACACTGGGCCACACACCATAAGCTAAAAGATGTACCTCCTAGGCACCTGCTAGATTTCAGGCAAGCAGGGAAACCCGACGTCGGAGCCCCAGGTGCCACAATGCCCAAGTCAGAAAAGGAATATAAAGACTATGAAGGAAGGCACTTGTCTGCCCTATTGTGAGATCAAATAATAAATATCTGTGCACCTTCTTGCAAATAGTGAACATGTTACTAAAAAGTGTGCTTGGAGTGAGTTATTCCATCCCTGATTAAAAAAAAAAAAAAAAAAGAGTTGAGATGTACTACAAAAACACCAACACATCCGTTCATTTGACCATTCAGGTGTGTATTTATTTAACCAACAATCTTGGCGTGCCAGGCACTGTTCTAGGTGCTGGGGACACAGTGATGAACAAGAGACAGGTCGCTGCCTCTCATAAGGCTTACCCCCCCAGAGGAGGGAGAGAGACAATGAATCATTAAAGAAAGGAAGAATTGGGCGCCTGGGTGGCTCAGTTGGTTAAGCGACTGCCTTCGGCTCAGGTCATGATCCTGGAGTCCCAGGATCGAGTCCCGCATTGGGCTCCCTGTTCAGCAGGGAGTCTGCTTCTCCCTCTGACCCTCCACCCTCTCATGCTCTCTCTCTATCATTCTCTCTCTCAATAAAAAATTTTAAAAAAAAATCTTAAAAAAAAAAAAAGAAATACTGCGAATGTGGGCGCCTGGGTGGCTCAGTTGGTTAAGCGACTGCCTTCGGCTCAGGTCATGATCCTGGAGTCCCGGGATCGAGTCCCGCATCGGGCTCCCTGCTTGGCAGGGAGTCTGCTTCTCCCTCTGACCCTCCTCCCTCTCATTCTCTCTGTCTCAAATAAATAAATAAAATCTTTAAAAAAAAAAAAAAAGTGGGCGCCTGGGTGGCTCAGTCGGTTAAGCGACTGCCTTCGGCTCAGGTCATGATCCCAGAGTCCCGGGATCGAGTCCCACATCGGGCTCCCTGCTCAGCGGGGGGTCTGCTTCTCCCTCTGACCCTCCCCCATCTCATGCTCTATCTCATTCTCTCTCTCAAATAAATAAATAAAAATCTTTAAAAAAATTTAAAAAAAAGGAAGAATTAAGAGAATATCAGAGTATTAAGTGCTAAGAAGCAAATAAAAGGTGATTAAAAAAAAAAAAAGAGTAGAAGGGACAGGGTTCAGTCTTTCACCTGGTGGTCATGGAGGGCTTCTCAGAGGAGGCAGTAGCTAAGCTGAGACAGAGGTGATCAGAAGGAGCCTGGTAGGCAAAATTAGGGGAAAAGAGTTCCATGGTAGAAGGAAGTGGAAGATCCGAAGGTGACAGGCAACAGCAGGACAATGTGGCCAGATCAGAGTTACTGTAGTCAAAAGTAGAATCAGGAGGCAGACAGAGGAATGCTTAACCGTGCGGATCCCAACCAGCGGGAAGATTTAAGCAGGGGAGTAAGAGAACCTGATTTACTCCTTCTGACTTTTCACTGGGTGCCCGTTTATATACTTTGAATTTTCCTCCCCGTGCACAGTCCAGCTTAAAAAAAGTGTCAATTCAAAGATGCGTCTTTTTTTCCACTTTAACATTCCTGAAATCAGGACGCATCGAACAGTCAAGAACACACCCATTAATTTGCCAGCAAGTTGTCTTTCCTAACGATAAAGAAATAGCAGTGAATCTTACAATCACAGCCTCATATGTTTGATGAAGGAGGGTAATGTTTCAATGAAATTTGTGCCACTTTTATGACCACCTATCACTTTTGTCAGGCCTTCACTCACATTTGTATTTCCCTTGTTTTATTCGAATTCTCCTTCCTCGGTATGCCCGCAAGATCAAAAACTAAAAGCACAGAACCAGAAAATGTGTGTACATGAGACACAAACACAGAGTTCAAAAGCAAGCAAACAACTAACAAAAAAATCAGCCCAAAAAAAGATGATGAGGGACTTTTATCAAAGAATGTATCTTTATGTTCTAAAGGATTCCTAGCAATTGAGGAGAAAATGAAACGATACCATGGACACATTCCCGATGGACATTTACAAGGAAATCCTGCAGGCCAAAAAAGGAAGGAAGATACTCCATCTCAGGAGCAGTTTCAAAGTTAATTTAAAAATTTTTAATTAATAGGTTTGGAAGATAAGCAGAAATTTTTGTTTTAATGGTAACAGCCACTGTCAGTGAGGCTGTAGGGAAAGAGAATCCTCGTCTACTCTCGTGAAAATACAATTTACTAAAGAGGGTCTCGAAGAACAGTTTGGCAGTAGCTATTAGAATTCATAAAGGACAATCCCTTGAACCAGCAATTCCTGCAAATATGCACGTGTGCATATTTGTGCTTTCTACAACACTGTTTAATAGAAAACCATAAAAAACTCAGCTATGTAAAGGACCGTCAGTACCAAATACATTAAGTAAAATGGAATTTCATGCCAAGGAGAACTAGAAAGCCATCAGAAATGATGAGGCAGACCTATATATGATGACACGAAGACAGCCACGAATCACTAACGATGCAGAAAGAGCGAGTTACAAAACAGGATGTGTAAATTACTCACTTTATTAAATTTACACATAGATCTATTTATTTTGAGAACTATAGATTCACTCATTCAACAGATACATACTGAACTACAACCTCTGTATTTATTCAATGTGTATATACATTCTTTCAACAAAAATTTATCGAACCTTCTAGGTGCCAGCACTGGATTCTATTTATGTGTGTGTTTTTTCATGTGTGATATTGATCCGTCTCTAGGTGCATTGTTCATCCACAGGAGAAAACACTCTGAACACTGGTTATCTTTTTTTTTTTTTTAAAGATTTTATTTATTTATTTGAGAGAGAGAATGAGATAGAGAGAGCATGAGAGGGGGGAGGGTCAGAGGGAGAAGCAGACTCCCTGCTGAGCAGGGAGCCCGATGCGGGACTCGATCCCGGGACTCCAGGATCATGACCTGAGCCGAAGGCAGTCGATTAACCAACTGAGCCACCCAGGCGCCCCAACACTGGTTATCTTGATGGGGGGAGAGATTGTGGAGGGTCTTTACTTTCTACTTCATACATTTGTGTACTGATGGATCAAAGGTGATGCAAAGTGTTAGCTCTTCCACTACAGGTAATCATTCTGACACAAGTACTCACCAAATACACAGAAAACTGTGATAGCTACAGTGTGGAGAAATCAGCTAGGCCAGCACAGGGCAAAGCTGCACACGTTCTACTTATAATTTGTAGGAGGAAACAAAGTATGGGGGAGATGTTCTTTCCTGGAGGAGTTTCTTCACGAGGAGCATGACTATGGCACTGTGGTTGCACAGAGGCCTGTCTAGTTGTCTGATGTTTCCTGTGGCATCTGTGTCCACCATCCAAGAAGGCCATCCTTCTGGGCAGGTCTTCTGACCTGAATTATTAATAAGTCCCTGAACTACTCTGCCAGACAGACAGAAAACGATGGAACATTCTGGAAGAGGTTTCCCTTGGTTCGAAAGGCTTAGAAGTGAGCAGAGTGTTGCTGCAAACACTCATAATTAAAACGTGAGGGGGGAAAACCCGAGCACAGGGGCCAAGGAGGTGACCTAATAGGTGGAGCAGGTCAGGTACACACAGCGGGGAGCAGCGGGGGCAGGACTGCAGGGTGACAGCCCCCCTCCACGAGGCAGCCATGTAGGAGGGAGGGTCTGATGCGGCCGGACTGGATGTTCCCAAGGAAAGCTGGAAACGGAGATTCTCCGGAAAAAAATCTATTTTTGCACCATTTGCAAATCATTGAAACACATTTTGTAAAAGACTTTAGAACGGGGACCTATGGACATCTGCTTTAAATTCCTCCACGGTAAATGTGATGCGGTGTAAATGTATCCGCAGAAGTACCCGCTGTGTGACGTCATGGGCACGCGCACACACACACACACACACACACACATTCTGACACGCGCGCACACACACACACACCCCATATTTCAAAAGAAAAGGGGGGAAAAAAGCAAAGAGAGTTCTACAGTCCGTACTGCACCACGTAGGTTAAGGGTACTTGCCGTTTTGAAGTGGGTCCTCTGAATGTAATTCTATAATGGGTTGTGATAAGAAAGGCTTGACTCTGTGGGGAGATGGGAAAGCGAGAGAATTGAGTCCAGGAGCTCAGTTTCAGCAAAACTGCAAACACCCACTCCAGAAGCGGCAACTACATCCTGCTCCTGCTCAAAGCAAGGGCCACTCGGTGCACAGGGCCTTCTGCTTCATGACATCTGGCCCTCGGCACACGCACTCACACTTCAGTGGATCGGGGCTCAGGCGAGGTCACTAAGCAGGACACTCCGAATCGGATGTCCAGTCACAGTCTGATCATAAATACTGAAGACTCAGAACTTGATCAAGATAAGTCATCAAGAATGTTCCCGATGTTCCAGTGTTTTCCAAGCCGTCTCTCGTTTCCTGCCTCTTCTCCAACAAAATTTTTAACACAGTGCTTATTCTCACAGTTAACTGAAAAACAGACTCCTATTCAGACCTGAAGTCAGTAACATTTATGTGATGAGTCTCCTCCTTCACAATATGCAAAAATCAGACCTCAGAGAGCCGAATCCTCTATCAAACAACCATACACAAAGGCCAAAGCATTTTTCAGCCCAGAAGCCACCTCTGGGCTTACGTGAGAACCCACTTACTCTTACTTCACTTGGGGATCCAACAAGCTAGGTTGTCCTCTGCAGATGCCCAGCCTCAGACGCCAGACGGCAAGTAAAAAGCATATTTACTGTAACAGAATCTTGTATTTGGAAAGGGTGAAAACCTTGTTTTCATAGGATAAAGTAGAACAACCTCATACTTGAAAAGTATTTCCAGATGATGAGAATCAGACATCTATGAAGGACAAGCTGAAACTTTTAGGTTCACTAAAAATTTTTTTAAATGTAAGACCTGGCAGGGCGCCTGGGTGGCTCAGTTGGTTAAGCGACTGCCTTCGGCTCAGGTCATGATCCTGGAGTCCCGGGATCGAGTCCCGCATCGGGCTCCCTGCTCGGCAGGGAGTCTGCTTCTCCCTCTGACCCTCCTCCCTCTCACGCTCTCTGTCTCTCATTCTCTCTGTCTCAAATAAATAAATAAAATCTTTAAAAAAAAAAAAAAAAGACCTGGCATTTTATTGAAATCACTCATTTAAAAACAGGGAAGGGAGTACAGGTTAAAACCACTAAGAAACCTTGACCTTGGGCTTGAGGCCAGGGTTTAAATCTCAGCTCCACCCTTTCGTCCACAGGTGCCCTGACGGAAATTCGCTTCACTGCTTTGAGCCTTGGGTTCCCCCCAGAATTCACGAGTCTGCTCTGAGTACTGAATGATGATCCAAGTGAAGCATTTCACATGGTGCTACAAAAGGTCCCAGCAGAGATTCACAAACTCATCCTCTACAACTCTGCAAACTTTTTAAAACCTGGCTTCAGGGTCGCCCCTGGAAAATCTCACATATGACTAAATTCAGCCTCGTCATCATTTACTCGAACAATATATACTCGGCATCTGCTCTGGGTCTGGCACCTCTCTATGCCCTGGAGATATCGAAGTAGACAAAAGACACAGAACAATTCCGATGATTAAACTACTGTAGGTCATTTCTTTTCAAGGTTCAGAGAAATGACATTCATGGACAGAAGAGTCTCAAGGGAGGGTGTGTATTGCATTTGGAAGACTGCTCGACAGGTATGGAATGAGGATCCTGGGGCCAGCAAGAAAGAAGGGGGGGGGGGGCCAAGGGAAGAGCCCCCTAAAATGAGGTCTCCAGCATGCAGATCAGCCCCCTACTGACCGCTGCCTCTGAATCTACCCGGCTCTGTCCTCTGGTCCAAGCCACACTTACTTGATGCTGTGCAGCTTTCTCGTGACTATCATTGGAAAGTCGACCTCAAAATATTTACTTGGGAGAAGATCTTCATCCTGAGGACAAACACACAGTAAGTTTTCGAATTCTATATTCCCTCATACATTGACTGACCATCTTCACGTACTGAACACTAGGCCCCAAACAGCAAAGGCCTTAGGGCCTTAGGGCCTTAAATTAGGAACAATACGGTCAGAAATGTATTTTTTAGGTGACTTTGGTCTCCGCATGGAGAACGGATGGAGGACAAAAGTTAGGAGGATCTCACAGCCATCCAGGAAGAAGGTCCAGGGAAGAAGTCATGGGGAGCCTGAACTGGGGTAGCCGCCCCTGGGATGGATGTGGGGAGGCACTGAGAGGTGCTGGGGAAGTAGGACCTAACAGACTTCTCCCAAACCCAGACTGAGACAGATTAGGGAGGGTCAGGAAACCAATGTGGGGGGAGGGTGGGACCAGCATTTGGGGGATCAAATAGGATACAACAGCAAATATCACAAAGCATCCCCCACAGTGAGGGCAGGCAAGTTTCGCCCATTTGACCTAGACTCCAAAGAGCAAACAAGCATTTTTTTTTTAAAGAAACTTAGATTAAAAAAAAAAACAAAAACAAAAAAAACCTTTGGACCAATATAATTATCAAACAAACCAAAATTCCTCCATAAAATCTTTTAGACCCTAGGCTATTAGTTTTCCTCACTCCTGACAGATAACCTTTCTCTTGGAAGGGGTACCTAGGTCTCGGTGTACCTTGACCAGAAATAAAAATGTCAGACTTATTCATTATTAACCGACCTACATGACAGGGGGAGAAACCAAACCTCGGGACCAAGGCAAAAGGGAGTTGGGCCGAGAGGAGGCTTTTCTCCAGTGGCTTCTGCTCACACTGCACACGTTCTGCCCCTGCATTCTGTTCCAGCTCCTTCAACCACACCATAGCCACTGAGGTACAGACGCAACACGGACAGAAGACCACAAAGACCCCCCTGAACAAGCACAAGGCTCTGTGTAGAGAACAGGGAAGGAACCTGGACTTGGAGGAGCTGCAGTCCATTGTCTGTTCCACGCTCCAGCCCCACTGGCTGTCCAATTTGGGGGAGACACAGGCTCTTGCGCCCCCCCTTTCCCTATCTGTGTAACCCACCGCCCCACAGAGCTCCCAAGTTAATTCATGAGGTCATGGAAGTACAAGCACCTCATAAACGTGAGCTCTCCTAACCTGAATGAAAAAGGCAGAGGCAAATGACTGATACTCAGGCCAGGCTGAGGCTGCTGAGTTTTCTCCTGAGTAACAGAAAGGTCGGGAACACTGATGACCAAAGACCTTCTTATCAGGAGAGCTCATTAGGGACAAAACACATATGCAGGTCGCGTTAGGCCCACATGCTCTAATTTATCTTGGTGTATGTCTGCAATAACTCTGGGGAAACTCCCGAACCCATCACTGCCACATGACTGACCTAAGAGAAAAAACAGAAAATTCTGTACAAATGTACAGGAAAGAAAATGCAATGGGTGAGGGTGTCATCGGGAACAGACTGGGCACTTCAATTCCAGCCCAGAATCCAAGACCAGCGCTTTGGTCCTGGTTCTGCACTAACCGGACCCATCTCCTTTCCTGTGAGTGAGCATAGTTACACCTGTTCTTGCCCCCTAACAGAGCAGGTGAGGGATCAAATCAGGGAATAGCTACAAAAGGCCTTGTGTCATATCACCATCACCCAGCCTTGCACATCCCCAAACTGTATTGAGGATACTGTCACGATGACAATAAAATCTTCCTTATCGTCAATATGGCAGATGCAGGGGCTCTGGGTCTCACAATTCCACTGGCAGGGCTCTTCCACACGTGCTGGGACATGTCTACAAGGATTTTTATCATAACCCCTGTTGCAACAGCAAAGGATGGGAAGCCAGGCACCTATCCTTCAGCGAGGCCCTGGGGACATCACGTATGTGGCTGAGGGTGGCAGCAGGTACAAGCAGCTGGGGACAGGGGCGCGAGACAGGCAGTCACTGCATTCCTTCTGAATATATTTTTAACATTTTTGAACCAGGCGGGCACCTTCACAAATGAAACAATTCGGGAAAGAAGGGGCATTTTCATTTACCTTTAATCTCCAGAAGGTGGTATCCATCCCAGCCCCAAGATTTAGAATTTGACAATGACATTCTGTCTTCCGTAGAAATGCCTTTATCAGCTGACTGACGCCATGGACTCGAGCAAAATATCCTGAGAGAGAGACAGGGACAAGCTATCGCTCAGTGAGGTCAGAAATCATCCCTGCAGAGCCCACCCCAGGAGAAGAGCAAATGAGGACTCTTCTGCTCTTCTTCGGGGTCAGTGGTTTATCTCTGGACTTCATGGGAGAAATAATGACTTTCACATTCTCTTCCTTTTTTTTTAATTTAAAGCTGCTAGAACCAAAGTAAGTACAATCTATTTAATGGTAGAATTAACTATCTTAAAAATAAAATGGTCCGTAAATTTACTTATGAAAGACAAGTTGGATCTAAATATTCCTTCAGGAAATGTGCTTTTTTGTGGCTAGGTGAAAGCTACTAGGGACTCAGCAAAAAGTCAAAATGACGAGATCATGATGAAAATAATATTTTGGGGTCATTATATGGGACAGATAAATGTCACAGCAAAAAAAAAAAGAAAGAAAGAAAGAAAAAAAGGCCGTATTTCTTACCGTGTTCCCTTCATCTCCATCCGTGCGGGTAAGAGCCTCTGTTTATAAAATGGCCTCACGGGGCACGTGGGTGGCTAAAGCGATTAACTGTTTGCCTTCAGCTCAGGTCATGATCTCAGGGTCCTGGGATCCAGCCCCATGTTGGGCTACCTGCTCAGTGGGGAGCCTGCTTCTCCCTCTGCCTGCCGCTCCCCCTCCTTTGCGCTCTCTCTCAAATAAATAATATCTTTCCAAAAATAACAAAAATAAATAAAATGGCCTCACAGACCATCTGCATTGCTGATAAATGGACTTGCTCAGCTCCAAGGGAATGGGAAGCTGGAGCAAAGGCAATGAAAAATAAAAATAGAGGGAAAGGAAGATAATATCTATTCTAAAGCCCTGCTACTTAAGTATAACTACTTTAAGAACAAAATTTGAGTAGCATTTAGAAACTTACTGCAATGTGACAAGGAATTCTATGTCTATTGATTATCCTAATAAGGAACTTGAGCTTCTATTTTATGTGTTTCTTGCATTTTATTTTTCTAGGAAATCATTTTTAATGTATGTTATAGAATATTGTCCACAACAGATTGGTTATTGGAACAAAACTTTAAAGAGGCTCATAACACACTGTTAGGGAAGCACTCTCCTAGTGGGCCCCAGTCTGGAGATGCCAGCCCAGGCAGAGAAAGAAGGAAAGAAGGTCAGCTGACACGCTGCCTGGGGCGCCCATCTCCCGGGGCCCCAAGGTGGGTTCCCACCTCTGCAGCGTGGTTAGGAAAGCTGCCTCAGGAGCCCGGGAGGGAGTCTTCAGGCCTCTTAGCCAGGCCTGGCCCCATCTCCCCGATGCCTGGGTTCACCCTCAGCTCCAAGTAAGGTCCATGTCCTTATTCTCAGGAACCACCACTTTACACTTTCTTTGCATTTCTTATACAATCTACCCATAGGCTCCATCTTTAGGGCCAGGATTCCCTGCATGCACAAGGACTGTGGTCATTTGGTGAACTTCTCAATCTCGCTGAGACTGAGACACCCTCCTGTCTCAAATCCTTTCACTGACTTGATACAAAGGACTTGCAGAGCCTGACAGTGTTACTATCATTTTACTAAGGCCAAGAAAGTAATTCCTTACTTGAACAGACAGTTCACAGTAAAAAATAATATAAATGGCTCTTAAGAACATAAAAATGATCTTCAACTTCACCCCCACATAAGAGGAATATAAAATAAAATTACTGTAAGATACCATCCTTCATGTATCAGATTAACCATGATGAAAAGGTTCCTAATACACTGTGTTGGTGAGGATGTTGGAAAATGAGCACTTTCATACGCCACTGGAGAGAATGAACACTTGAACTCTCTCTTTTGTAGAATGAATCCCTAAAAGCTCAGGTCTCTGGGCTGATGAGGGGATGCTGGGAGGGAGGGGGTCACTTGCCTCTGTTAATTTCGGGGGCCTTCCTCTCCTTAGACAGTCTTACAAAATGCTGGATGTAAGGGTCATGCCAGTAGCCAAGGCTTACTGCAAACCTGGAAAGGAGGAAAGGAGGCAGGTGAGTTGAGGTCAGTAGGATCTGACCCAGTTCTCAGGAACCAGGTCAAGAAGGAAAATCATCTACCTCAAAAGACCAACAGAGGCACGTCTGGTGCTCCATTACAAATGTCAGCAGACTCAGCCATCCGTCTTGGTGCTCATACACACGGCCCCTCACCCTCCCCACGGCGCCCATTTCTTCCCTCTCTTTACTCATGTGGCTAACTCCTTCCCCAGAACCCTAGAGAGGACAGAACCTCACCTTCTCACCAAGAAGACCTGCCACCACTTATTCCCTCAGCAAACTTACTGGCAAGAGCCAGTCAGAAAACTCTGCTCGACCAGAAGTTCTGTGTCTGTAGGAAAGAAGATCCAGAATTGTTTTGTAAAACTCACGAATGACTACCTAAGCATTTCCCCTGGCTCTGTATTAGGTACCAGTCGTTGCTTTCAGCACGTCATAGTGGGGAAAACCAGGAACAAAGAAACACAACAGCTACAACCTAGAAAATGCTAGAGACAACCCACAGAATGGGAGAAGATATTTGCAAATGACACTACAGATAAAGGGCTGGTATCCAAGATCTATAAAGAACTTCTCAAACTCAACCCCCAAAAAACAAATAATTAAGCCAAAAAGTGGGCAGAAGATATGAAAAGACACTTCTCTGAAGAAGACATACAAATGGCTAACAGACATGTGAAAAAATGTTCATCATCATTAGCCATAAGGGAAATTCAAATCAAAACCACATTGAGATACCACCTTACACCTGTTAGAATGGCAAAAATAGACAAGGCAAGAAACAACAAATGTTGGAGAGGTTGTGGAGAAAGGGGAACCCTCTTACACTGTTGGTGGGAATGCAAGTTGGTACAGCCACTTTGGAAAACAGTGTGGAGGTGCCTCAAAAATTTAAAAATAGAGCTACCCTATGACCCAGCAATTGCACTACTGGGTATTTACCCCAAAGACACAGATGTAGTGAAAAGAAGGGCCATATGCACCCCAATGTTCATAGCAGCAATGTCCGCAATAGCCAAACTGTGGAAAGAGCCGAGATGCCCTTCAACAGATGAATGGATAAAGAAGATGTGGTATATATATATACAATGGAATATTACTCAGCCATCAGAAAGGATGAATACCCAACTTTTACATCAACATGGATGGGACTGGAGGAGATTATGCTAAGTGAAATAAGTCAAGCAGAGAAAGTCAATTATCATATGGTTTCACTTATTTGTGGAACATAAGGAATAGCATGGAGGACACTAGGAGAAGGAAGGGAAAAATGGGTGGGGGGGGGAATTGGAGGGAGAGATGAACCATGAGACTATGGACTCTGAGAAAAAAACAGGGTTTTAGAGGGGAGAGGGGAGGGGGGATTGGTTAGCCCAGTGATGGGTATGAAGGAGGGCACGTACTGCATGGAGCACTGGGTATTATACGAAAACAATGGATCGTGGAACACCACATCAAAAACGAATGATGTATTGTATGGTGACTAACATAACATAATAAAATTAAAAAAAAAAAACTGTAATAAATAATAGGACATTGAACTTCAGATGCTTCAGCACCTAATATAAGTCGAATTTGGTACAATAAAGAATTAAAAAAAAAAAAAAGAAAGAGCCTGCACTCTCTGGTCTACACAACCTGCAAAATGCTATGGTAGCCTAAACTCTATCCCGTCTACACTACAAGGAATCAAAGTTTTAGTGTTCTAAACCAGGGAGCTGAAGCCCAGATTACCACTGAAGGTCTTCTGGCAACCGTGAGGAAACCAGCCTTAGGACAATGAGAAGTAAGGAAAGGAGCCTGGATCCCAAAGGCCATGTGAAGCCATTTTGGCCCTTGCCCCTCAATGGATATCTTGTGAATTAATAAATGTCTTTAACATTTCAACCAAATGGAGGGGCACCTGGGTAGCTCAGTTGAACGGCCAACTCTTGGTTTAGGCTCAGGTCATTTTCTCGGGGTCCTGGCATCAAGCCCCGTGGCGGACTCCGTCCTCAGCCAGGAGTCTGTTTCAGGATTCTCTCTCCCTCTGCCCTTCTCCCGCCCCGTACTCTCTCTAAAATAAATAAATCTTTAAAAAAAAGTAAAAAATAAAAAAATAATAAAAATAAAAATAAGTAATAAATAGGGGGGGGCGGAGCAAGATGGCGGAGGAGTAGGAGACCTGGATTTCGTCTCCTCTCAGGAATTCAGCTGGATAGGGATCAAACCAATCTGAACACCTACGAACTCAACAGGTGATCGAAGAAAAGAAGAGCAACAACTCTCTGAACAGAAAAGCAACCACTTTCTGGAAGGTAGGACGTGCGGAGAAGTGAATCCGAGGCAATATTTGGGAGGATAGACGGCTGGGGAGGGGCCTCCATCGAATGCTTCTGGCAAGTGATAGAACCACGGAGCACAAAATTGGAACTTTTAGAAGTCTGCTCCGCTGAGGGACGTCACTCTGATGGCTAAGCGGGGGGTGGAACCCTCGTGGGACAGTGTGGTCTCAGGACCCTCGGGGTCACAGAAAGACCGGGGGTGCCTAAGGGTGGCAGAGCTCCCAGGTATCGGAGTGGGGAAGCCGGCTGCAGAGACGGAGCCGAGGCGCGGGATCTCAGCTCGGGGTTGCCATTAACCATGATCCGCGGCACAGTTGGGTCCCTGCTTCTTCAGCAGGGACCCAACAAGCGGCAGATCCGGGGAGACTCACCTTCTTCCCCTGGGAGGAGCCGAGCGGGAGCGCACCGCAGGGATCTGCTGGGTTTGGAGACTCCACACGGGGTCGGGTGCCAGAGACAGAAACGCGCGGTCACAGGCCGGGTGAGCACGGAGTGTGGCCAGAGACCGGGGAGACGGGAATGACTGGCGGCTTTTCTCTGGGGGCTCACTGAGGAGCAGGGCCCAAGTTCTCCGCTCCTCCGAGGCAGAGATTGGGAGGCCACCATTTTCACTCTCCGCCTCCAAAGCTGTAGGGAAAGCTTGCAGGGAACAAAAGCTCTGGAGAGCAAACCCGAGCAGATTACTTAGTCCTGACGGGGCAAGGGCGGGGCAATTCCGCCTCCGGGAAAGACATTTGGGAACCACGGCAACAGGCCCCTCCCCAGAAGATCAGCGAGAACAGCCAGCCAAGACCAAGTTTACTGATCAATGAGAACTGCAGAACTCCAGCACTAGGGGAATAATGCACATAGAATTCATGGCTTTTTTACCATGATTCTCTAGTCTTTCAAAGTTAATTTTTTTTAACTTTTTTTTTTTGAATTTTGCTTTTTCGCTTTTTCAACCAACATCTTATCAATCCCTTTTTTAAAAAAAAATTTTTTTATTTTTCATTTTTAGAGTCATATTCTATTCCTTCATAGTAGTTACCCGTATTTTTGGTATATATATATATATAAGTTGTTCTCTCTTTAAAATTTTGAGATAGTTTCTTCTAACAGATCAAAATATACCCTAAATCTCTAGTGTATGGTTTTTTTCTACTCCCCTGCCTGATCACATTCTCTCCCTTTTTTTTTCTCTCTCTTTTTTCAAACAACTTCTTATCAATTCCTTTTATAAAATTTTTTATAATTTCCATCTTTACAGTCATATTCCAACCCTACATCATATCAACCCTTATTTTTGTACATATATAAGTTTTTCTTTCTTTAAAATTTTGGGAGGCACTTTCTTCTAACAGACCAAATACACCCAAAATCTAGTGTGTGGCACTGATCTATATACCAGCCTGATCATATTTGATCACATTCTGGGTTTTTTTTGTTTTGTTCTGTTTTTGTTTGTTTTTATCTTATCTTTTCCTTTTTTTTTTTTCTTTTTTCTCTCTTTCCCTTTCTTTTCCCACTGCTTCAGGTCTTCTCTGATTTGTTTAGAGTATATTTTCTGGGAACGTTGTTACCCTGTTAGCATTTTGTTCTCTCATTAATCTATTCTCTGGACAAAATGACAAGATGGAAAAAATCACCTCAACAAAAAGAACAAGAGGTAGTACCGACTGCCAGGGACCTACTCAATACGGACATTAGTACGATGTCAGATCTAGAGTTCAGAATCATCACTTTAAAGATACTAGCTGGGCTTTAAAAAAGCATTGAAGTTATTAGAGAAACCCTTTCTGGAGAAATAAAAGAACTAAAATCTAACCAAGTCGAAATCAAAAAGGCTATTAATGAGGTGCAATCAAATATGGGGGAGCTAACTGCTAGGATAAATGAGGCAGAAGACAGAATCAGTGATATAGAAGACCAAATGATGGAAAATAAAGAAGCTGAGAAAAAGAGAGATAAACAACTACTAGATCACGAGGGCAGAATTCGAGAGATAAGCGATACCCTAAGACGAAACAACATTAGAATAATTGGGATCCCAGAAGAAGAAGAAAGAGAGAGAGGGCCAGAAGGTATAATGGAGCAAATTATAGCAGAGAACTTCCCTAATTTGGGGAAGGAAACAGGCATCAAAATCCAGTAAGCACAGAGAACCCCTCTCAAAATCAATAGAAATAGGTCAACACCCCGACATCTAATAGTAAAACTTACGAGTCTCAGAGACAAGGAGAAAATCCTGAAAGCACCTCGGGAGAAGAGATCTGTAACCTACAATGGTAGAAACATTACATTAGCAACAGTCCTATCCACAGAGACCTGGCAGGCCAGAAAGGACTGGCAGGATATATTAAGAGCATTAAATGAGAAAAATATGCAGCCAAGAATACTATATCCAGCTAGGCTGTCATTGGAAATAGGAGAGTGGGGTGGCTGGGGTGGCAATGCTTCTATCAGACAAATTAGATTTTAAACCAAAGACTGTAATAAGAGATGAGGAAGGACACTATATCCTACTTAAAGGGTCTATCCAACAAGATCTAACAATTGTAAATATCTATACCCCTAACACGGGAGCAGCCAATTATATAAGGCAATTAATAACAAAAGCAAAGAAACACATCGACAACAATACAATAATAGTGGGGGACTTTAACAC